GTATACGGTAGAATACCGTAAGGGGTTGAGCATTCCTCACGCTGACGCGTTGAGTTGATTTCCCCCTGAAAAGAAATTATGCGCATATTTGTCTCCAGCTTTTAAGAGAACCGATTTGCTACCTTATATCCCCAGATACTTCATTCAGCAAGAGACTGCTGATTACAAGGAAGTTCCGCTGGGTGAAAATTATCGGAGTGAAAATGGATTAATCATCAAAACAGAGAAGGTAGGACCAAAAATCTGGGTACCCCCAAAACTCCGACAATTGATCATAGAACAATTCTGTTGTCTTACAAAATAGGTTTTACAGTAAATCAATATGAAACTTCGATTTACCAACTTTTAAGAAGATCACCAAATTCTGCTTGACCTTTTTAATTATTCGCTCCTTTAAGTTGGGCGCGCCTCGAACCAGCAACACACAGTTGCTAAGTGGAAATAAATGTATATCTTTTCTTATTCAATCAATCATGTATTTCCATCAATACATATCCATAACGTACTCTTCTCCTCAAGAGGGTATCAACCACTGAAGAAATATAGGGAAGAGAAAGAGCTTTTATCAACTTGGGAGGCAATGTTGGGATCATCAAATAAAAGTGGGGAAAGGGGATGGACAACCAGTTTGGACTAATATATTCAGCCTGTCTGAGTCCCGATCAGATATGCATGTACAAGAAACAGAGTTGCACGAGATTGCGCCGTCCTGCATTAATGAGCAGGTGCGCTTGGTCCTTTTGGGCCACCAGGGGCTTTCATGAAATTAGGGTCATACATTAAGGGCATGATAACAGCTGCTTTGCAATAAAAATTAAATTGAGAACCACCAACGAAGCAGGTATTGTGGAATGTCTCCAAAAATTGGAAATGTTGGCTTGAACAAAAATTTCCTAAAATTAAAATCAAAATAATTTACTGTATTTCATCAGATGAAAATTTATCGGAAGTGTTATTAAGAGAAAAGCCAACTTTTATTTTTAATCTGATGATTTTAACTTCAATTGTCTTCCAAAAAATTCAGATAAAGATACTGTAACATCCTTCATTGATAATTTTGATCAATTTATCATGCCTAAGAAAATTTCCTGCAGACTGGCAAAAATTTTCCGGATCACGTTTGTATGCTTAAAAAAAGCATGACACACTTGTCACAGGCACTTTTATTTTCAGAATAATCATCTGTCAAGAATATTAACCTAAGAAAAAAAGGCAGTTTCATAAATTAAAATCCAACTTGAGCAATTAGGTTGCAATAACAGACATTTTGTTGTACTGTAATGTTATTTTCAAAAATCCCAGCAGAAACACCACAGGGAGAATGCCATAAAAATTGTTCAAGATGGCGGAATACATTAGTTACCAAAACTTATGAAATCCACCCCCATTCACTATTTTAAATTGAAGGAGCACTTCTTGATCGCTAACAACTACCCAGAGCAATACCGTAGGTAAAAATGTCACTCAAAATAAAGCCCCAAATTAATGCTGTAAGAACATTTTGGAGAATTTTTAAACTGAGAAATTGTGCTTCTGGGCGTTTAAAAAATTTTTAATCCAACTCAGAAGCTGGAAAATTTTCTTGTTTAATAATGTTCTTGTATTTGCAGAAAAAACTGGAATTTAAAAGAAATTCCTCTCTGATTGGATGAAGAAGAATCAAATACTTTTATTAATCTTGCTTTAATACTTTGTGTTGTAATAAATTTTTGCAGGTAGCTGTAATTAGATTTCACCTGTAATGCATGGTCTGTTGAGCTAAAATTCAGCAAAAAGTGTTTCCTGTCAACAAAAAAACCATACATGAGTAAAAACAAGGATTTCAGTGATTTGTTTCTTTTAAAATCACAGTAATTCTGACAATGGATATTTTTAATTCTTACACAATGAGGCACATTCAAGTACGGTTCATTTGATCCAACTTGTTTATATTTTCTTAAAATTGTATGCGCGTTAGGCGCTGATTCAACTGTGATTCAGTGACACACACGAAATTTTTGAAAATGCATAAAATTGCAAGAAAAATGCATACTCCAGTATGAAGCTTTTGGTTCCAATTTTTGGGGGAAGGCGTGCGTGGTACTTGTTTAAATGCAGTACTGTATCTATGTTCAGTATACAAGAGTATTAACTGTAAATTTAGTTTGCTGACGCCACTCAAAATATTTGAGTTCTCTCCTCACTGAAACCGAGGACTACGGCCCTTGAAACAACACTGGTAGAAGTCAAGAGGATCGTGCCCGAGGATCCTTGCAAGTGATCCCCCCCTTTTGCCATATGCCCCGCCTCTCTCGACACTCGACGCGTATGTAGCCAATCCAGGTGCCTTTTCCCCAGCAACGCCCCCACATTCTCCGCAAGGGGGTTCAAAAGGGACTCTTGGGCAGGGGTTTTGATGGCTTTGCAAGGAACGGCAAACGCAATTGCGGTTCCTTGCTGGAGCCAGAAAAATTCAGGCCAAGTTTGGTTGGCTTGGGAGGGTTGAAAAAAATGGGTCAGTTGTGAGGCTCTCCTCTGCAAGGTGAGAGAGAAGGTGAATTTCAAAGCTTATTATTATTATTATTTTTTAATTATTATAATTATTTTTTAAAATGACCAGGGGTTCACAGGTGAAAAAATTTAAGCTTCACAAGTTTTGAAGTTTGAATTTTTTTTGGAAAAAATTATTCAATGCTTCAATTTTTCTCATTATTTTGAGCCCTGATTCAATTTACAAGTTTCAGATTTGATTCTCGAATTTTTATTGAAGATATACAATTATACAAAGATGAATCCCACTTTGATAGATGTGTTATAATTGTTATTTCACCCACAATCAAAAATAAATTTTTTGTCAACTCTAAATTGACACTTTGCCATATGAGATGACAGAGGTTGCTAAAAATGTAGGATCAAACCTTTACTTCATCAAATTGTCAAGAAACTTAACCTGTCAGAAAATGAATATGGAGGCAAAAATGCTCAAAGTTTTTTGCAAAAAAGTGATGGTGCCTACTATTGCAGATTTGATGATGTTGACACTCATCGAAAAGCATGAAAGGCTTCAAGAGCCACTCAAACATTCAAATAATTTTTTTAATGCAATTGAAAATTCTTACTGCCATTTTCACTGTATGGAGTCAGTGAAAGTTCAACTTCTGTGTTTTGAAGCTTTAGAACATTTCAATGCAGGTAACTTTTGAGTGGAATCAACTGACTTCTCCAATTTGGAAAGAAATTCACATTGGGGTTCCGTCTCCATTTCACAGTCAACAAATGTTCACATATATATATATATTTTTTAATCCATAACCTCCTTAATATCACACAATAATCTTGGGTGTATTGGCCTTCACTGATTCTTCATACAACTGAGTAGAAATGACATACTGTATAGCTTCCTTCCCACAATAAATTTGGACATCTAAGGATGAAACTTCGAAAATGTATTTATAGATGTTGCTCAACATACAGTAAATTGTTTGAGCAGAACAAGAATGGCCCAGCAGTAGTGTACTGTATATTAGTATGTATAAAGTTCTAGGATGTCCATCCAATCTGATTTCTTATTGTGACTCATGCGCATGCTGACCCCCTGGTGAGAATGTGAAGCAACTGCTGGTCCTGGTTAGCTTCTTAGAAGAAAGGTTAAAAAAACATAGTTAAATACAGTATACAGTATAAGAGTATTTACTGTGAATTTAGTTTTCTGATGACACTCAAAATATTTGAGTTTTTTCCTTAATTAAACCAAAGACTTTGGCCCTTGAACCAACACTGATAGAAGCCAAGAGGATTGTGCTCGAGGATCCTTGCAAGTGATCCCCCTTTTGCATGATGCCCCGCCTCTTTTGAAGCGCATGTAGCCAATCCAGGTGCTTTTCCCCCGAACAACGCCCTCCACATTCTCCGCAAGGGGGTTCACGGGACTCTGGGTAGTTTTGGGCAGAATTTTCAATACAGGACAATGCGTTTTGTTTCTCTAATATTTCTATGATTCTGAAGTTGCTCATGATTAATTTCTTTGATTCGAACCCACCTTATACAGTAAAATAAAGTACTATACCGGGTGTATATATATACAGCTCATTACAAAATAAATAACTGAGTTATATCTATTGAATTATAGAATATACTTGCTTGGTAAACAGTGTACTGTACTTGCTGAATTTCACAATTACAGAATGCACAAATACAGCTCTGCATATCAATTTGCAAGCAGAAACATTTGTTTGACTAACTGAATACCAAAACTCCGGAAGAACAGTAACAAAATCAGAGTGAAATTCCAGTTTCTAATTAAATAGTTCATTCCGAAATTGAGTGTACCATCAGAAATCGAACGAACATCAATTACATAAGTATAATCACGCAATGATCTAGGGCGCATAGTCGGTCGTGGCCTTTTGTCGATTTCCCACACATAACTGAGTAGAGACGACACCTACCTTTGTCCCCAGAATACATTTGATCATCGCACGATGAAATATCAAAAATGTATTTGTAGGTGTCGCTCAACATACAATAAATCGTTCGTGCAGAAGAAGAACGCATAGCATTTCTGCGATGTTTAATGCCTTCTTGTGACTCATGTACATGCCGACCCTGTTAAGAGTGTGAAGCAATTGCTGGCCCTGGTCGGCTTTTTTAAAGAAATGCTCAGCTTAGAACCGGAAGTAACTTTTTACTAGTAGAACCTTCTATAGTAGAACCCACATCGCATTTCGAATGTAACTACTGCATGTACGTGAAAATCACGTATCTTACTTCAAAGACTGTTTTAAAAAGGTAACAGAAATGTTATTGATATCACGTCATCACATTAATGTACTTTGCCCAAAAATATGTCGTGTCTTGGAAAGAATAATTTATTATTATTTCCAATTGCAATATACCTGAAACTTAATTAACCAGATAACGGCACCATAATAGTCATCATCGTCCTGCCAAGAAACGCCAGGATAACGACTTTCTACACATTCTACGAGGATGGAGAAAAATAAATGATACACAATAGGAGGTTTTCGTTGAGGAAATGATTGAATTGCTTCGATATATTTCCTGTCAAGGTCGAGCACCAAGGCCGTGACTAATTGGCCACATTACGTTCACCGCGCCGCCGCGTGCGCAAGCCAAAAAACGGGGACAATGGAAAAAATCGCTTGACAATAACAAGTAAAATGCAATGAAAGTGATGATTGAACTCTGAACACTGAGTAGGCGGAAGGGTGCGATTCCACCCCCCATCCTCCGCCAATTGCACTCATCCCCAACATGGCACACAGCTGGACGATCGTCCACTCATCACGCAACGATAGATGAACAAATCGGCGCACCGATCGCCTTCGTCTCCCTCCGTCACCACACGTGACCTGCTCTCATTGCAGGAACAAGGAAGTACAAGGCGATTCAAGCTCCACTACATACAGACCCACAAGAACGGGAATATTTCAGCTATTACTTCTCAATAACACAGAAACATTTTAAATTCTAGACTAAAAGACGCCATATGAAGCAACGAAAGTATTAATTTACTCGGACTGATTGATCCAACAGAAAAGTGAGTTTGCATTACTTTCCTGAGAGTGCGAACATGTTTTTAATCTTAATGGATACTGGTGTCTCGGTTATTGGACTTCTCCCTTTCATTTGTTTTCATTGTAAAGCTTTACAAACTGCGGGATTCGTTACAGCACAGAACAGAAAATATTTCCGTTGAACATTGTTAAGCTCTATAGAAGAGCTAATCCCTTCCAGACTCCATTGATTGTCGAATAAATCAATCGACAAATATTTTTCACCACAACAGAAAATGGCAGCGTACTCAAACAAAGAAAGCAATGCTCAAATAAATCAAGAATAACAAAACACTTTCTTCAACTCTAAGAAACAGAGCCATATTTTGTGAAGGAACTTCATGAAACAAATTATGAACTATAAAATCTCATCGTCCCTCATTTGATAAAAAAAAATCGACACCGAGATCTCCGTCTTTTCACTGCTTAGCAAAAAGGAATTCCAATACAAAAACTGCAAAAAAATTCACCTTCGAAAGGGTGATGCCAGGATTTTTAGGGTTTTCTTTGTCTCTCTGGGGAACACTGCAAATTCCTTCTTCATAATTTTCGTAATACAGTAGTAGATTCATCATTGCCCGAAATATTCCCGCTTTCGCAGGTCAATTAACACATGGATCACCCTGTACTTAGTCGGACCCCGAGGCAAAAGAAAAAAATCCTCGTCGCCAAGAGCTATACCACTCAGGGGATTCGATTAGCACGAGAGCCAGCACACAGCCCGAGAAATGAGAGGATGAGAAAAAAAAAAAACACGACATCCACGCGATACGTAGTTAAATATTCTAGTGCAGAATCAAAATCTCGTGAAAACACTTCATTGAGCAACTTTGTACATTTTCCAACCATATCCTTTTTGAACTTCGGCTACGCGATTCCCCGGTAACAGATAAATGCTCCTTTTCCCCACCTCTTCTCAACAGACGAAGCTCAGCTGAATTTCCTAATAAGCTGCAGCTCGTAACGATTGTTTTTTTTCTTGGCATTTCCTGAGCAACTGCCAGGTACCACAACTAAGTACCAGGTCACTGTCTCGTGTTCAAAGTCCGACTAAAAATGCTTGCCCCTCGCTGGAACTTACGGCAAAATCCAACCTTCTGGTGCATCCCAACACTCTTAGATTGATTGTCTTTCAGTACGCATACAATTTTCTATTCGATCAACTGCGAAAGGCTTCGATTTTTCTTCTCACACTCGAATGACATTGCATCAACTCTCTCGACAAGAAAACGAACTCGGCTCGTTCGAGAATACTCCAAATTTTCAGAACACAAGCTTCAAATTAATCTGACGAACAATTAGATATGGCGCGTTTTCCCATAAGTTCTCCAGATTTACCAATGAAGACTTTCTCGTATAAAAAAAATTCAACTCACAATAAACTGAAATGGAAATTTGAGCAATCGCTCATGAACACGGAGAACGACAATGTCTCGTAGCAACAAAAGTGTGGAGAGTGTTCAATAAGTTTCTACGCAGTTCAAGAAGGCTTACACGCCGTTTTCATAGCATTTGCGTGAAACACTGTAATTGAGCAAAGATAGGCTACACCTTGAAACGACAGAAGATTTTTTCGAATTACTGAAATTCTCCTCGAATAATGGCTACTGAAAAGTGAATAACGCGACTTTTTTATAGACAGTGTATTTACTGCGTAAAACGGGTAGAAGAAAATGTTTAGAAGATGAAAAGAGTTTCGCGATTCAATGCTTTACTTTTCGATGCACATTTTTGTTTTCTGAAAACCTCAGCCAGCTCATAACAAAAAATTGCTATACTTATGCAAAACATACAAGAGCAAATGCTAGATTCAACCAACTGACGCTTGAAAGCATGTTCATCTTTAGGCCGTTCCATTATCCGAAACGATGACATTCTAAAACTGCACAGCAACCTTTTGAACACTCTGCAAAAGTCACACAAACAAGTACTCGGAAAACACAATAAACTTGAAGCCCGAATGAATTTATAATCTGAACACAAAAAACCTAATACTCGCTCAGCTTACACGAGGAAAACGAAAAGTTTTTAATCCAACGTAATTGATAAAGTGCATGCAGAACAACAGTCCGGTGGAGAAAGAATATCCCACACCGCAACTCGAGTTATCGAACAAAAGCACCTCGCTTTTCCCCAAAGTCCTGCTCTCGTAGTGCTAGAAAAATAAAAACAATAGCAACAGGTACTATGATGGGGAATCAAACATTCCCGCAATTCAACGGGAAAGCACCAGAAGATGGGAGACTTGCGATTCTGATTGCCCATGCCGCTCAACAAGCGAAACTCCCGAGTTTCCAAAACCGACTTAGAATTTTTTTCTAATCAATGAAATTCATTCCACTATCGAAGCTCCAGTCCAATCTAACATTCGTTCTCATTTTCAAAATCACACGTTCTTTGTTTTAGAGGAGAACCCATCAGATCGTTGTTACAGCTAATCGTTGCATTAGGTCGAGCCAAAGGCTTCAAGGAAATTATCACATTGGAAAAGCGAAATTTTATCACGAGTTTCGATTTTTATTCCGATGAGACACATACAGCATCAATGTACTAGGGTTCGACTTTTGCGCGCCCTGGTGGAAACGGTCATCAAAAATGAATTTCAAAGTTTTTCCTTTTTTTTTTACACTCTTTTCAGCCAGCTCTACATATTCATTTTCATTGCTAAATCCTTGATTTTAAACTTTAATACACTGACATTTTTAGGGAACCGGAAGAAAACTTCTTTTTACATTTTTTAGCCTCAGAGACCTTGCAGGTAAACTTTGAAGATTCAAAACTAAGAGGAGAGGCATCTATAAAACTGAAAATGGATACTGCACCAGCTGCAGAATTTTTTCTTGGAAAATTTGGTACATTCGATAAAAAAAAAATGAATACTGTACTACAGAAGCAGTTTTGCAAAATGATCTGATCATCAGAACCGCCCGACTTTCACGTGAAAATTCACCAGCGCGCGAAAAAATCGGACATCTCCTGGCATTTATTGGTAACACGTCGAGAACTTTCAAGTTTGAATATCACGGGATAAACAAACGTTAATTGAAGCATCAACCAACTTCAATGAGACCTTAATTCACCTTAATTCGGTATTTTTTGATAGTAATAATCGATTTACTCTTAGCGAATTCCTCCATGATCCAATTTATGCGCAACTCACGGCCTCGGGAAGTCATGAGTCTTACCAGCGAGTTCGAGATCCAGGTCGACCAGAAGTCGTAACTCGGAAGTTCAATTAAACGTTCTCGGGAGGGCGTAGATTGGGTTTTCCTTCCGAAACCGGCTAAAGCTATGAACCCTCCCCCTCTCTTTCCAAAATTAATCTCACTCTTCAACTCCGAGCGGGAACTTCAAGAGAACTGGGGAATTTCCGCGCAGAGGGACACGACTAGACTAAACATCATCATCATCATCACACGGCAACAAGTCACAGACACTATAGCGCATACACCGAAGACACGAAAAAAAGGGGAGGAAAAATCAGTTTCGTATTTTTATTTTTCTTTCAGTTCACGCCTTCAGCGAAACACGGCAGTGTTGCAAACTGGGAGGCAAGGCGAGGGTGAACAAGCAATGGATGATGAGCAGGAGTGCAGACGTCGACAGACCGATGCAGCCGTTGGTGAGGCGAGTGGCGCCTGTAGGTGTGCCACTGCTCACGTTGCTGTGCGCCGCCAACTGCGACCCTTCCCGGTGGTGGTGGGTGTGGTTGAGCACGGCATCGTGGTAGCCCGTCGGCACATCCTTGTTGCAGTAAGATTCATCACAGCAAGAGACACATATCTAAAACGAAATACAGGTATTTTAGATTCAAATATTTTTTAATTAACCATTTCGAAGAATTCTTCAAGGCGTCAGGAAATTTTCACAAGTTAATCGTTTTAACATTCAATCGCTATCATCCCTTAATTTAGTGCCATAAATTTCCCCAGGACAATTTTTTTTCTTGAGAAAAAACCCCCGATTTAATGCCAACTCACTCAGTGCCATACAAAGTGGCGCGCCCTTGGATGGAAGATGGGCCAAAAATACAAAAATTAGGGCCTTTTCCTTGGGATACGCGATTGGTTTCAATGAGAATCATGCTCATAAAAACTCGGAATAATTCTGAACATTTTATTTCTGAGTATACATAATTGAAATTTTTTCGCATGGCACCTTCCTGTATGGAAGATATTAAAATAAAAAGCGGAAACTTTTCTAGAAATACTGTTCTGTGAATTTACACACTACGGCGCTGGATATAAAACTAAAAAAAAAAATTCAAGGAACAGCTACAGATGTGTAAGAATCCAATACTGTATATGTTTCATTAAATATATCGCAGTACAGTACCTTATAAAACCATACATCTGAGCTTTAAATTACTGTACTTATCATGGTCTTCTCTTGGTTGATAAAGACTCTGTGACCTAACTTATCTGCAAAGGTTATTTTGCAAACAGCAGAAACAATCAAATAAACTTTTTTTGAACAATACCATCGATTTAGTGCCACTCTTGCTTAATGAAAAAAAGTGCCAGAACAAATAATGACACTAAATTGATGGTTGACTGTACGCAATAAATATTTCTTGCAGGAATTATTGCATTCGCCGAAAAAGCTGAGGTCAAGATGTGCTATGTATTTAAACGCGCAAATATACTGCAGAATACAGGATACTTCACGCACTGCTAGACTCAAAAATTTAGATTTCAGAAAGTTATGATCATCACATACACAGAAAGAATTAACGACGAAAAATCCCAACAGAAATCAAGTGTTATTCGCCTGGGAAATGGAAGGGGAACTCTTTTGACCTACTCAAGGCAGATCCCAGCGTAATTCATTCATAACTAATCTGATGCTCGGAGCAATAAAATTCGCCCTCGAGCATTTCAAAATTTATCCCCGTCATTTCTCTCACTCTCTTGGAAAGATAATCGTCTGGACGAAGGCACTCGTTTCCCTCATTCCTCAAGCACCAGCCATCAGTTCTATTTCATAGCGCAAAATTGTTCCCATTTCAGTTGCCAAGACGCCAAACATGTGCAGCGATGCCAGGATTTCTGCGCGTATTTATTTTCTTTCCGACACGCTGAACAAATATGGGAATATTTTCGCTTTATTAAATGTTTATTTTCATGTGAGTGCGGCTCAAGAAAAACGGGAGAGACTTGCAGTACTGCAGAACTTTTGTAGAGTAATTCCTAAGAGAATTAATCAGAAAAGTTGGTCCTCATTTCTCAATTTTGCGCATTCAACTTCGCAGTTACCCACTTGATTTTCGCCTCAATTAAAACTTGATGCTACTGTATTTTCATTCGTTTGGTTAACAAAAGGGAAAAAATAAAGCTTTTTAAAATGTTTTGATCTGTAAATCCGAAAAGCCGAGTACAGTATCATTCTTTTCAATAGTTTTTCCCTCTGCACTTCCCTTCAAGTAAAAGTTGGGTCTCAATAACTTGAAGCCCCCAGCCAAAAACCGCTACATGGCTATGTTCAAGACCATGTCTGGATTCCCTCAAAAACAATGTATAAGCCTCTTCAACTCAAAAACTTTCTCGTTCGACGATTTATAGCTCAAATTTCTGGAGGACTTTGCGGCATTAATCTGGTTAATGCGGCAAAAAAGAAAAGCAATATAAAAAGTGACTTTATGCTTTTCACGAGTAAGCGAGTGACAAACTGGGAAAATTAACCATTTTCTTCATTGTTCTTCATTCGACCCACTCATTTATTCTGTAATTTAAGGCCAAAATCTAATTTTATAATTCTATCGCCAAATCTAATTTTCTCCAATTTTTTATTTTCGCAACCAGAATAAAAAAGTGGGAGTTTCCCCAACTCGAAAACTTCTTCAGTCGACTTTATATTGCTGGTTCTTTGCAGTTTGACTCGAAGAGGCTCAACCCTTCTTTTATTTAAAATTAGACAGCTTCAAACCTAAAAATCATTGTCATGAAACTCGCAAAAAAGGGCTTCTCAAGATAAATACGTCGTATGACTGTAACTTGAGACAGGAAGCTCAACTTCAAACAATGGTACAGTAGCTGCGGTGGTATCAGATAACTCCGTTGCCGCAGAAAGAGAGCGAATGATCGTGTAACATAGGTTCATCGGCGGAATACATGTCTGATGACATTATTCCATACAGAAGTTTTTTTCACAATTTAGAAAAATAATAATTTTCGAAGTACTGTACTGTACCACATTTTTACTGATGCTTCGTTTTCGTACCTGGAAATTTGCACTGAAACGCTACGCTTCTCCGATGAGGGTAATTTACGAGCCACCAGAACAGCAGAAACATGAATATTTCGGTGAGTAACGAACATTTGCGGGCATTACGAGCAAATAAATATCAAATTTGCGTCCAAGGAAGACAAGATAATGTGAAAGATGAGGTGGGAATTCCGGCATCACAAGTACAGGCATTTGATGGTGCCTGGGAAACGGTGAGAAATTACTGTACTGGCATGCTCCGGACGATTATTTTCCGTCACTTCCTCGTTATTTTTTGTTGTTTAGAATTTGGCCCTCGGATTTGAAAGAGAAAAATTAAAAAAAAATGTAATCTTCCCTTTCTGAAGAGAACAACAACTCTTATTTAGATTCCCTTTCTTTGAAATTGTCGAACTCCCGCAGATATTCATCCATTTATGGGCTTGGTATTATTTCTGAAGGATTAAAATGTTTTCTTCAGGAAACCAACAAAGATTTTGCTGAGGCTTTCATGAAAATGAGATATTTGAATGACATTCCTCGCCAGGATTCCACGGATTTCCTGTGGGAAAAGCGTAAAAATGATTATTGCATTTCCTAGGGGTTTCACAAACGTTAGCAGGATAAAAATTGAAAAGGGCTACAACTGAGCTGAAAAATAATCATTGCTAAAAAAAAAAAAAGTTTTCGGCACAAGAAAAAAAATTTCAGCACTGTTCGACTTTTTTTTCCATGAAAGTTCCACAAGTCACCCTGCCAGCTTTCTGCTGTACTATCAAAGGATGAGGCGCTCGTCTCGCAGAATTTTTGGCACACCCTCGCGCTTTCCTTTCAGGATTCTTGAAATCGACATGACATGAATTCCAAGGGTTGCTGCCATTAATTGATTATTAATTCCGCTATTTATATGAACATCCCCCTTTGGGAAGAGAATGAGGTGGTTGTGAAGCCGGCTGTTGATGACAATGGTGGAAATAGTACTATATTTTTCTTGACTTTTTCACACGAAAAATAAGCTACAAAACATACTTGGAACAAAGCTAATTTTTTTTCTTGTGCCGAAGAAGGCTTTTTTTAAATAATGATTTTTTTCAGCTCAATCATACACAGTTTCAATTTCTATCCCAAAAACGTTTGTTAGACCCCTCGTATAAGGTCTGTTACAATGCGGAGAGTGAAACCAAGTCTAATTCTGTAAACGACGTAATCTGTATGTCTTGTGAACATTTGTGCGCTGGAGAAGAAGACTACATTCTCTGCATACTTTTCTTTCACCCTTTCGCCGGAAAATATTCCCAAGGACTAGAAAAAAAAAAGTTCTGCGGACCGGCTCCAGTCCGCACATCTAAATGATTACAAGATATAAAAAAAAGGTTTGCCGCGGCTTTAATGAAAATGTGATATCTGAATGACATTCCTAGCAAGAATTCCACAAATTTCCTATCTAGAAAATAAGAACGTCAAATCTTCGTCAGGCTTTCGAAATTAGACCCAACTCTCAGTACAGACAAGAAGTAACTGAAGCTTAACATACACAGAAAGGAAAAGAATGGGACACAATCCCGAAAATTCCTCAGACGACGCTTCAGAAGTCACAGTCACACAGAATTGCGTGGGCAGTTTCAATAACGACGACATCGTTCATCAAACTCACAAATGAATTATTTAAAAAAAAAAATGGACACCAGCTCTTTTTATTCGAGGAATAAAAGCGGAAACAAGCTCACCCGTTGGCCATCAATATCCAAGCATCCAACGTTGCCCTCCAGACACTCGACTGCCGCTGAGCACTTCTTATCCACTAAAACGCTTCTTCCATGCGAATCCATTATGTGGGTGGTGCGGCAGAATAACATGCCTGATGAAACACATTCGGCAAAAGGGGTCAACACAGACGTACTTGCTAGGGGTAATCAGGGCTTTCCTTCCCCCCTTCCCACCCCTCGCGGGGTAATAGATCCCGCTGCAGTATATTCACCCGTCTCAGCTTCACCCAAAGGCTCTGAATATTTCATACGACGCGTTTTCGTGTGGGTGTCGAGAAGTCGCAAGAAACAAGTCTTCGACCGCATGTTTACAAGTTAAATTTTGCATGCATGCATGCATGCATACAAAGAGTCGCAACATGGCGAAAGAACCTACGCAAACACAATCCTTTTCTCGCGCATAATGCAACCTCCGTCATACGCAGAAAAAAAAAGAAAAGGAATTTGCTTTCAAGATGGCATCTTACACATTCTTCCGACGCGCGTTGCATCAACAGTAAATGGCTCCCAACCTTTCCTTTTTTTCCCCCTTTCTCGCGAAGAACTTTGATAGAATCAAGATCCATTTCGGAGCACCTTGGATGAATTCACCTTTTGTAATAAAAAAAAATGTAAAAATCTCCCGCCTTAATGGACTTCCGCTCGCGTCACAGACATGCAGAGTCCGTATTTTTAGCCTGTACTAAAAGCGTCATTTTATTTTACTTCCCTTCAAATTCATGCTCATTTTTTCTGCATTTCCTGGCCAACAACAGAGCCAATGAGTAGTGCATCACGAGCAAAGATAGAGCGCAGTTGATCACATGATCGATTCAAGAAAGAATAAATATAGCGTCTCCAAAACGTTACATCGAAGTGTTGAGATTTGGAATTCTTTCCTTGCTTGAAATTTCAAGATAAACGCAAGCGGAATATCATACAAATAATAAATGGATATCTTGAAAAAAAAAAACCAGTGCTTCAGACATGAAAAAATACTGCATTAAAAATGCGTTCAAACTAGTTGATGAATCCCACCCAGAAAAAGTCGGGCAGCTGAAGAACGACTCCTACTGCCTCATATAGAAAAAATCAATCATCTCGATGAAACAAAAACAAATAAAAAGAGAATTTTTTTTCTATTCCATTAAGCGTAGCAACGTTTTGGAAACCTTACACCATTAAAAATTTATTTCAAGTTCCAAAAATGATACGTTCAAAAATGACTGACTGACTCACCTGGCGGACAGGGGTGGTCGATGGCAAACCTGTTGCACAAATCGTTGTCCGACACATTGACGCAAGTATAACAAGAAAGCACTGCAAATGACACAACAAGAAACAAGTTTAAAGTCTTAGCCTAACAACGATCGAGGAAAGAAAGCAAAAAAAAATATGAGTACGTCAGCTCTCCCTCTCTTTTGCTCTTTCCAGCGAAATTAAACGGAAGAAAGAAACAAAACGAGACCGACAGGAATGAAACTAATATACAGTATTGTACTCTACTGCTTTGCATGGAGAGGAATGGGGGAATAAAGGCTGCATTACAAGACATGGGCAGCCCGTGAGAATGAGAAAAGAAAGTGAGAAGAAGTGCCTGGGAAAAAACTCAATTTCCCCGAAATCACCATTGGGCCGCTCTGATGGAGGATAGGTGTGAAAGCAAGCAAGCAAGGAAGCAAAAAACAAACAAAAAAGAATAGAAGAGAAGGAAAGGAAAGGGGAATAAAAATGAGTCTAATAAAACTCACAAGGATTGTCTTCAGCGGCAACGGGGGCCTCGGGCCCGGGTTTCGGCTTGGGATCAGCCGCAGCCCAGACCTTCTTCTGGAGGCAGACCAGGATAAAGCTGAGTGTGAATAGGGTGTGGAGGGACTGGCGGCAAAGCCAGTTGGTGCAGCTGGAATAGTGCGTGCTTCTGCTTGTGCCCATGGCATCTCCCCCCGCAAACTGGACCAGCGAGCACCACGGCTTCTACCACTCTCGCGACCACCGGGCCCCAAGTTTTCTGCTCACATCACCGCGGCCGCATGCCCGTCCTCATCACAACTCATTGCTCCCGACGGCCGCAGCGACTCATCACGGAATGCGCTGACGGTCGCTTCATCACGTCACTCACTCGTTCCCGGGCCAACGTTACATACTGCACTCAACTAGCATCAACCCGGGATTACACGCATCCCTACACGAGTCCAACAAAAAACAATATGCGATAAACTTGACGGCAACTCATTATTCACACGCATTTGTATGCACTGTAATGTATTTTCTTCTGAATGGATGTGTAGGGGAATGGGGCATAATTCTTACACCTTGTAAATATTGACAAGCTGCTAATAAAGCTTGCACAGGTACTATACCAGTGTTCCCCAACTTTTTTTGGCCCGCGGACAGTCGAATTTCCAAAATAAATTCTGCAGACAGGCAGATTTCCAAAATATTTTCTGCAGACTGGCAAAGTTTCATAAAGCTTTGCAGACTCAGAAAAGTTCTGTTTGAAAAACTTCATGGGAGGCGTTTGAAAAGTTTCTGCTTTTTTGGAAAAATGAAGTCAAGAACCAATGCAGCAGTTATATGGGATGTCTTGAGAATATATCTTCAAGACTTCGTCTTACTTTTGAAACATTTAATATGCTGAAAAAACTCCAGCAGACTGGCAAAAAACGTCTGCGGAATGCAGATTGGGGAACACTGCTCTAAACAACAATATTCAAGGGGCCTGAAAACAATTTTTTGTAGAAAACCCCCATAAGATGGGGAGAAAACCTTATGCCCCTATGGGACCAGAAGAAAATTTATTCGGAAGAGAAAATCTGTAAGATTGTCGTAGAGAGAGTCCCACTGCATACCAATCTATCAAACAGTAGGCACATTTCAACTGTCCAACCTCTTTACTTCAAATTCCAGGGGACCAGCCAACAAATTTGGGTGATCAACAAATTTGTTTGCGGTCAGGAGAAAATTCCTGGAGAGAGAGAGAGGAAAGAAAATCCCGTCGTTTGAAGTTGAAACCCTTGAATCTATTCCTTTTTAAATACTAACCTGCAGGGATAAGCTAATGAAAACAATCCCAAAGATTAACCTCGAGTCTTTTGCACCTAAGAATAATCCTAGGTCAGACACAATGGCATTTTTTCACCTCAGGGTCTGACTTCAATGCTATGTTGCGCTGATTATCCGGAATTCCGTTTTCCAATTCAGGGTTCTCTTTTTTTTTCCTGATTCTTGATCTCATCAATATTTTCAGAATATTTTATATGTGAAATCAACTTAAATCAACGCATATTTCATCAAATTCGTTTTCTTCATGCACATTCCGGTATTTTCTCATTGTACCGTTACGAAGGCACTAATCTCATTACTCTATTACCCGTCCATCCTTGATTTTGGGCTGAGATTCAAGGAAAGAAATGCAACGAAAGCTGCAAAAGTATGGACATCTTCGAGGGAAAACGCCACCTACGATGTGCTGAACATAACTTGTGGGGAAACTTTTCATGAGTTTTCAACTATTTATGCATCACTTGATCTCGAAAAACGTTTTACGCATGTGACTATTGCAGTTCGACACCGCAAATCCGACGGAGTTCCAAAGTTTGTTTTCCAGTCAATATTGGGCCACTTCGTCTTTTAGAGTTGTGATTGGTGCAACATAAGTGACATGACCCAACACAGCACCTGACAACCCCATAAATGTTCCGACACTTTTTAGTTTTTACAATAAGTCTGATGAATTCCTAGCCCAACCTAATCTTACATCAAATCCACTGAATACCTAGAGTAAAAACTTAAAATACAATCAATCCAATTCTAACTGACTCAACACCAATACTGTATTTACTTGAGTACCACGGGGTTAGACCTGCACCTCAATTTTTTGTTACAAAATGTGACAAAAACCTATTCCTCCCAATGAGACTTGCACCCCAGTTTCTGTTGGCTGAAGAGCGAATTATTTTTTTTTTACCAAATAATTTCAAGTAAATAACCAAATTGGATGAGGTCGGTTCAAAACAGAATCTCCATCCTTTTTTTCGCCTGACCTATACCATTCTTCCTTTCTTGAAAATGTATACGATGCAAACACCATTTTTCGGCCTCAAATTTCCCGAAAAAGGTGCACACGGTACTCGCGTAAATAGAAATACGGCACTTATTCCAACCTGAGTGAATTGAGAGACGAGCTCATGAAAACCGCTGCACCGAGAGGACACAGTACCTACCTTCAACAAGGCAGAAAGGCAAAAACTGACCTCTTGAAATGATCGTATGCCGGGTTATCCCTGCAATTCATCTAGCGGGAACAGGAATCACGTTGTCCACGTATACTGCAGATACCCCCCTGACTCGTGCACGGGGGCAACGAAGAAGAAGAAACATAAATCTAATCCGTCAGGAGATTCGGAATCTTTTTCCCGCCCCACGTACTGAGACGTGACACAGCATGCAGAACAACAACAACGAAGAGAACTATTCAAGGTCCTGCGTTTCCTTTTCTATACAATCACGGATCCTCCGATCCGTATTGGATGACGGATGAACGCTTCTAATGCAATGACCACCAGGGAAGACTTCGCTTTCAAGGGGCTTCATTAATTCAGCAGCGTGGGTTAGAAAGAGACCTTTGCGAAGGATATGGTTCATTGATGAGCACGGCTTTATGAGTTGAATCCAAATAAGAGCACAGGGTTTCAAGCCCCCTCATCCGCACCGGGAGCAACGCGATCTCATCATTGGAAATTGGATGTGCACGAGTATCAACGCATATGATAAAGGTATGAACAAATCACCAACAGCGAACCGCGGCTTTGATCACTTCACATACGGCATCAAACTGCTTAATTAATTCAACTTACTTCATTTTCTGAAACCTTGAATGGAAATATCGATACTGTAACCGAAATCAAGCAGGATTACTTCCAACAAAGATGCAGATGCACGTGAATTGAGAATTGTATCCGGAAAATTATCAATACTGCACTGCGCAATGACAAACGCGAAGCAGAAAACAAGATACCGCGAAGACTCCTCTAGACTCTAGAATAGACACAATATAGGAAATTTTTGTATGCGTGTTTCGAAAAAGTAGGCCCACGAAGTCCGTGGACAATTGAAAAAATGTATAAAACCAGTTAAGACTACGACTTCAACAAAATAATCAGTTCATGAGTTTCTTCAAAGCTTATTTAATCGTGGAACTCACGGCTAAAACCGAACTCCGACTTTTCTCAGAATTTCATTTCTTAGCTTTATAATTCCAGCCACTTCATTTTCCAACGAAATACCCGTGAAGTTGGCATTTAAAAAGCCTTCAAAAATATCGGTGTACGCTCAAAACCACATAAAAGGATAGAAAAATGATACTTGAAGAATGGGAAGGTACAGTACTGTACAGTGAAATATCGTAAATTTGCTGGTTTGTTACACATAACCTCAGAAACCGCCTTCTTTGCAACAATGGCGGCTCCGCCATTCGGAGGTTCAGTTTCCCCATTTCCTGTCCGTTCAAAGATTCCGCGGCACTCGCAATAATTTCAAAACTTTCAAGTAAACAAAAAAAGTATTGATAATACCAGACGCACAAGCTGAGCACGGTCGACGCAAAACTAACCTAACCTAGATGAAAGAACATTTCTTCTGTTGTTTTCATCCATTCTCTTCGGAATACGGGGGACCGAAATGGGACTGGGAATTGCCATTGTTTCACCAGGGGCCCATTCCGGGGGGTACTGTATAACCAGCAAGAACACCACAGGAGTTAATGGTCACACGCGGCGGCTGAGAAGCTTTCTTCCGTAGAATTTCGGAAATAATCCAGGTAAAAAAAATAGGCTTACGATCTTGACGACGGATTTTTCGCTATGGGCACACCACCTCTGGACTAAACGCATGTACATTTTTACCCCGTCTTTATTCCAGCACGAGTATTTCAAAATATAGACATTACATTATAAATTGAATAATAATGCTGATTTTATTTTTGAAGCTGAACCAGCAAATTCCTACATTAACAAACTAGGGATTTTCAGAAGCCCTCGACAGAAAACAGAATTACAGAAAACACCCGCCAAAATTCGATTGGGAAATTTGCCTTTATGAAACGTCAAGCATACATTCTTTCCATCGTAGGGTTAGTTGAATGAGAAAAACATTTAAAAACTTCTGTCGAAATGCATTAAAGAACATTCCGGGTAATCCATAACGGACACCCATAAAAACCACGGATCATGGTAATTAGCGGATTATGTCGCCGTGTATCATAATAAGACCAGATTCACGTGAGTAAAAGCGAAGGTACTGTACCTGAAACATCCAAAAGCGGGATTTGCCGTCCGCCTTCCCATCGTTGTCATCCACACATTATTTCACTAGATCCCAACAAATGCCTTTCAGACGACGTTCAACATGCGTAGCAGGGGTTCTTTTGATGTCTGAGCTACTTCTCACAGCTTATCCCCGCGTTTACAAGGATTATTTTTTCAAGTACTGTATACATAGATCCACTTCAGCGGTACTTCAGTGGACGACTGCTTTCAACATATACCACGCAAGAAAAAGGAAGTTTTCGTCAAATTCAGGACATCGCAGGATTACGAAGACCTCATACCTATATACTGTAGTTGCTTTAATTATTATTTTTTACGGATTTATCGTAGGCAAAACGGAAAGCACAAAGAAAAAAAACTTGCGTTGTATGCGGCAAATCAAACCACACATTTCGAAATTAATTACGGACAGACTAGTAAACGACTCACAAATATCCAAGAAAAATAGCAAATACAATTGGAATACAGTACTGTAATCTATATTCGACTACTTCTTTCCATTGACAACGAATTCGACTTATTATCCCACTACCTCTACGCAAACACAAGGAAAACAAACCCTGTGCTGAAATCATGCACTTGAGTATAATAGAAGGGCCGGAACAGAAGATCACTGCATTTGATTTAAGCACATGCTTTTATGGCACTAATACATATGAAGAGGCCTCAAGATACAAGCTTCAAATGCCAAGGGTACCAGGGATCGAGATCGCGGTCATAGTAGAAGAAAATCATGAGACTTAGTCCATGGCATACTAAGAAATTGACACAGGAGCAACCATAAAACCCCCGTCCACAACTTGCACCAAGCGGGTCAATCTCGAGATAATTTCCACCTCACTGAACGACAAAGAATCTGACACAACGTATAATGAGCATACAGGAAAATCAGAATTAATCCTACTGTTGACAACGTTTCTGAAACATATAATTTAATTCACCTATACAGAATGTTCAGAGTCACGGGACCACACCGCTTAGGTCATCGCACTACTGGTACGACTCCGACACCTTCTTTCGGATCAGAAGGTGCTCGCAGTTGTCAGGTGAGCAGCCATCCTGGTATTGTGATATATGTAAAACGTGGATTTTATATCTCATGGTGGAAGGCTTTACAGGCTTCTATTTTCGTGGGCTTTCACAAACATTTTCAAAAATGTTCTCTATTGGCTTTCTTCTGCCGCATTTGTCTTGATGACTGGAAACTCAGTTGTGTGGGATACTTCATTGCACAGAATAATCTGTAGACATGCATCCATTCACTTATTTGATAATAATACAGTATATAAGCAGCAGCCATATCCAAAGAACTAAGGCATCATCACTCTGCTTTTTTTTTATCAAATCAAACTTTATCCAGTTTATTAGTTTCCAAAACTAAGTAAAAACTGCAGGACGAGTTATTTAATGAATGCATTCGTAGTAATTAAAACTGTACTTGACTTTTTGGCATCCAAATTTCTTCAAATGGAATAAACAAGCCTACAAGCACAATATAATTATAGCAAGGTTAACCAAAAGTAATCAGCTTGGCTGCTTCGAAAGTGTGTTTACAACTTTTTTGATAAAACTTGAATATGGTAAACCAAACTTGACAGATATAAAGCTGCAAGTGCTCAAATAAGCTCAGAAAAGCCAAAACCTTGGAGATAAGCTGTACAGTACAAGTACAACATGAGTATGGAATATCAAAAGAATTCCCCCTCCTATTGTCACAGTAAGAGTAAATTGCGCATGTAGTTCCACTTCTTATTTTTCATTTTTATAGATTAAATTATGACGTTCTCTGCAAATTGAAGGCTTGTATAATGTACAGGTATATGATGCATTGGATACGAACTTCCCATCCATGGGATGTGAAAGTCCGTCCACCTGTGAAGCGGGTGAAGTATTGCGACTCGATCCCATACACTCCGGGTTATTGTTATGCACTCCTGGTTATTGTTGTGCACTCCTGTGTGCGAGAGTTCGGGGTTACGCCGAATCCACCGAAAGTAGTCATTGGTTGAGGAGGTCTTGAGATGCGTGCGATTATTATTGTGCAATAAGTGCCAACCATCCGCTGTCTGATACGAGCAAGGCTTCAATTTGGGAGCTTGTGTTCTGACTTCGCGATCAGGTCTACCTGTGTGGTTAGCATGAGTGCCGAATGGATCGTTGTATCATCACGTCGGTGTGTCGCGAGTGTGATAATCTTTTGTGGGTTTAATCGCAGGCTCCGTCCATTTAAAGATTTTTGAAATCAACGACGCGGTGCATCGTTCAGCATGTCAGACTTTAAAAAACCGAGTGCTGTAAAAGATTTTTTTGCTGGCGGTTTTGGTGGGATGTGCTGCGTCGCTGCTGGACATCCACTCGACACCATAAAGGTAATTTCATGAAGGGCCACTCCGTTAACGTGTGATGTTCAAGCGAGATCCGAACTTCTAGGTGCGTTTACAAACTATGCCAAAACCCGCACCGGGCTCTCCTCCATTATACACTGGAACCCTCGATTGTGCGAAGAAAATAATTACCAGGGAAGGATTTTTTGGGCTTTACAAAGGTGAAAGAGTAAAACTTCAGGAAGAATTATAATTTGTAGACGGTATTAACTTTTTCTAGTATCTCTTAGGTATGGCCGCGCCTCTAATAGGAGTTACCCCGATGTTCGCTGTATGTTTTCTTGGCTTCGGTGTTGGAAAGAGACTCCAACAGAAGGACCCCAATGAACAACTATCCCTTATTCAACTGTTCAATGCGGGAATGCTGGCCGGTGTGTTCACAACTGCAATTATGACCCCTGGAGAAAGAATCAAATGTTTACTACAAGTTCAAGCAGCATCTGGGGAGCCACCCAAGTACAAAGGACCATTAGACGTTATGAAACAGCTGTATAAAGAGGGAGGAATTCGAAGCATTTATCGAGGAACTGCGGCAACTCTTCTGAGAGGTTTGTGCAAAATCATATTTCAGCATTGAATTGGCAAGACGATTTTGGGTGATTTTACTAGATATACCCGCAAGTGGAATGTATTTCATGACCTATGAATGGCTGCAGAGAATTCTCACGCCCGAAGGAGGTAATCGTTCGGATTTGAGTCCTCTGCGGATCATTTTTGCTGGAGGAATGGCTGGTGTATTTAATTGGGCTGTTGCGATTCCTCCCGATGTGCTCAAATCACGGTTGCAAACAGCTCCGGAAGGCAAATACCCCAATGGCATCAGAGATGTGTTCAAGCACTTGATTAAAGAAGAAGGTATTACTGCGATTTACAAGGGAACAGCCCCGGTTATGTTACGAGCTTTCCCGGCCAATGCGGCCACGTTCTTGGGCTACGAAATGGCACTCAAGTTCTTGAACTATTTGGCGCCGAATTGGTAAAAAGTTCGGCGAAAACTTCCGGTGCCTCATTTGTATCGCAGTGTACAGAGAGTAGTTCGGCTACGGTGTCTTTCTCCGCGTCATTGTGGTGATTTTGTTGTTTTGGGTATTTTTTTCTCGTTTGTTGGCTACCCGTTTTATCGACATGCGGGTTGGATATTTTTACCAGATGTAACCATTTCGGGACGCAATATGATCGTGAGCGGATTCTTTTGACGGACCTTTTTTTTTATTCTCTTCGTTTACTTTGGAGTGTATTTAATTCGAATGCGTTATAATTTTTACAGATGAACATGGCTCTTCAAAATCTTGTTGAGGGACAGTGTGGGCGGGAGAATGAGTTAGTTTCCTTGTCGCGTCATCTTCAGCAAAACTTCGGCGGCTTTCCACTGCTGACCCAGCTGAGAAATGCTGAACCTGATCGAGAAGTGCCTGCGGACAACCCGGTGAGAATCTGGAATTTTTGGTAGCTTCAGAGATTCGTCCAATGAAAGCTAACTTCTATCTCGCTCGTGAAAGATAATTTTTCAGAAAACGAAGTTTTTTGGGGGCATCCAGACTATTCTAGACTTCTTTGATTGAAAGGAGAGTAGCAGAGTTCTATCTGCCTCAATTTGGTTGGTGTGGTTTGATTGGCATTGCTTGATAAATATACAATCAACCCTCAATTTAGAGCCACCCTCAACTAGTGCCACAAATTTCTCTGGAAGAAATTTCCCGACATTGTGTCGTTTAAGGAAACACCAATTTATTGCCAACTCACTTGGTGCCATAAAAAATCCTTGTCATGTATTATACAAAATTGGGTCGAAATAAAATAAATTAAGGCATTTTTCTGAGGATATCATTGGGTTATGACTGAGAATCACATATCTATGCTCACATAAAAACTCAGGTTAATTTGAAGATTATATTTCTGCGTTTACATTGTTGACAATTATTTTTGCAGTTGCATGACAACTTCCTTCATTGAAAATTATAAGGAAGTCGGAAGCTTTCCTGGAAACATTTGATACCTTGATTTTGGCTTCTAATGAAGAATTCAAAGGGAAAAAATATCTTTCATATTACTGTATTTCTTGTGCTTTCTTACAGAACCAACTTGGTGGCCTACAATTCTGTAAAACGCTTATTTTGCCTACAATAGAAACCTTCAATTGAACTTTTTTCTGGCTATATCTGATTTACGGTAATACAGTACCACAAAGTGTGCCAGGACAAATAGTGGCGCTAAATTGAGCTTTGACTGTGTATCAGTAAGTTTTGTCTTTAAAAAATGAATTTTCTCTACGAAATTAGCATCTGGAAAATGTTGAGCCCACTAAATGGCTTCCGGAAGTCATTTTCGGACGATATCCGGACTCCCAAGTATGAGCTGTTTCGCATTTAACGAGTTGAAGGTTCCAAGAAAGATGTTTCTTGGTCGTGTGGCATTGTGTTGAGATTTTCTTTCTGATGTATGCTATTCCTATTTTTTGTAGATGGTGAATGAATTCATGAAAGAAATTTCTCGGGATCAAATGACGGCCATGCGGTCATTCCGAATGGACACGCTGTTGAACGAGATGCATGCGTTGGATACCTCAGTGGGAGCTTCTATCGTGTCAAGTTCTCGGGTCGTGCATCCTCCGCAAGTTGCACCTGGTGTAGCTAAAATTGCAGCCGTCCAGTCGGAGGAATGGGCGAAGGAATATATTGATCTCGAAAAGTTATCGTTACCGGTAATTATTTTTTACTGCTTTTGTATTTGAAGTTTTTCTTCTTTCAAATCACTGGACCAGCGATTTCTGAGATTAATTACATTTGATTTCAAGTTACTTCCCTAGTAAGAATTGTATTGCGTTGAAAGTAAAATCTAGTCCTTGAATGAAGTTTAGCGCTATTTTCACAAGCGGACTTGAATATTAGCCATGTCCAAAATTTTCGCTTTTTTTTCTGTCTGTAACAGATCAAGTCCGATCTGTTACAGCAGTGTTTCCCAACCCGTGGTCCGCGGACCGGCGCCGGTCCGCAGACTTTTTTTTCCGGTCCTCGGGAAATTTTCAGCATAATCAGTCAATCAAAACGGGATAAAGTCTGTACTCTTTACCTTGAGATTAGGAAGGACAATGGCAATCACATCATCTGATGAAAGTAAAATTTGGCTTTTCTTCTAATAAAACTAGGATTTTCACGTGCTAAAATAAATTATTTTATTTTTTCATTCTGAAAAACTTTACTTCAAACCCACCTTTTTAATTTGTTTATGTTATTTAACCATAGCTCACTTCCCTCTATTTTGTTGGATCCATCGGATGTACTCCATTGGTGCTCAACTGAATTTTTGCAGAAAAAACCCAGAAACCTTAAAATATCTGCCTTACAATCTTTCAAGCAAAACTTTTTAAAGTCTGCAAACGTTTTATGAAGCTTCGTCATTCTGTAGCATTTTTTTTTAGGAATTCGCTGGTTCAAAAAACATTTTATAGAAATTTTTTCCGGTCCGCGAAAAATTTTTATGTGAATTTGCTGGTCCGCGGGTCCAAAAAGGTTGGGGAACAGTGTGTTAGAGAACTACAGTACTCAAAGTAAGCTGTAGTCCATTTTTGGGAATAAATGCAGGACCTTGCTTTTTTTGGGGGCGGTTCTTTTAGAAGAAATCATGTTTTTCTTGAGGTGGCATGTGATGTTGGAAGTGCACAACTCAGTGCCCTGCAGCTGGGCATTTCAGCACCTCCGAAATTGCAATCGGAAGGAATAATGATGCCTCCAGTCCCATATGGTGTGCAGCCGTTGCGTCCGCAGTTTCCGTTACTCCCGCCGATGATGCAAATGGTTAGTATTTATTTTTGAGCGGAGGACTTCGATTACTATTGAGTTCTAGTAGTGTTTAATTTTGCGAACGTATTTGTTCTCTTTCAGGAACGGCCGGTTCATCATTCTGCCCCAGACTACCGCTTTGCGGAAGCACTCGGAGACGATTGGATTGGAGAATTCTTATCGAGCGAGGAAGTGCTAAAAGGCGTTGTTGACTCGGTAGAATCTGGTGTGTACAGTATGATAATTTCGCTTTGAAAATGAAAATGGATATGTAAGAACGTAAGTTTCCGTTACCATTGACGCTCGTATGTTTGTTTGAGATCATCAATGATTTCGATCATGAGTATCATTCATATAAGTTAATCATTCATTTTCCGCAATTCTGCTGATTATTCTTCTGCAACTTGAGGATTTTCTTTTTTTTTTTCTTACCACAGGGAACAGGACATCGGATCTGGAAAACGTCTCTTCATCAACTTTGCGGGAAGCAACTGGCTCGTGGGATCCGCTGGGTGACATTTCATTGGACGATACCCTTCAGGATACGCTTGAATCATCAGTTTCAAAAGTAGGTAAATAATTCCTGTCGAAATTGTGTCTTAAGCTGGACCATTTGCATCTTTAGTCTTATAGATTCGAGGAAGATAACCCACTGAAGTATGCGGAAGACCCTTTTGAAATGGGTTTGAAAAAGGTGGAGGAAGGCGACGTGGCTTCTGCAGTTTTATTGTTTGAAGCGGCGGTTCAGCAGGAGCCGCAGCGTGCCGAAGCTTGGTTTCACTTGGGTGAAACGCAGGCGAAAAATGAAAATGTGAATAATATTCTTGAATTTTTGACGATGATTTGTATAATTATTTTTTATGCGCAGGATTCATTAGCCATTGCTGCGTTGAGGAAGTGTCTCGAACTCGAACCGGATCATTCAGAAGCTCTGATGGCTGTTGCGGTCAGCTTTTGCAATGAAAATCTGAACAGACAAGCAATTGCATCCCTTCAGGTATGACCGATGAAAAATATTTTAGAAAAGCATTCTTTTTTTAAAAATAATTTTCATGAAAAATTGAACTTGAATTTCCTGTTTCCCCGGATTTTTAGTTCATGATGTTGAATTGAAATTTTTTGCAGGAATGGTTGCTGAAAAATCTGAAATATTCAGACTTGCTTCCTGTTGAACACCGGTCCAGCGATTCTATTTTTGTAAATTCCATGGGATTTGTTCTGCCGTGAGTGATGCACTGCAATTCCATTTATTTATTTATTTTAAGTTGAGAATTATATTTCTAATGATTTTTGTTTTTGAGTAGAAAAGAACACGCTTTCTTGAAGGAGGGATTTATCCAAGCTGCGAATCGCAACCCGAACGGATCTGTTGATGCTGATGTTCAGCAAGGTCTTGGTGTTCTCTTTCATATGTCCGGCGAATATGATAAAGCTGTCGATTGTTTCAAAGCCGCTCTTCAAGTGCGTCCAGATGTGAGTAAGCCATCTTCACCAACATCTTCCCTTCGATAACATTTTCAAAATTCTTCTTTTATAAGGACTCATTATTGTGGAATCGTCTTGGGGCCACGTATGCCAATGGCTTGAAACCTGAAGATGCTGTTAGCTCTTATCATCGCGCCCTGGAGCTCTATCCGGGTTTCATTCGCTGTCGTTACAATCTCGGCATCTCTTGCATGAACCTGAAAGCGTATAGGTGAGTATATTTTTGAACTTTTTCAGTGAAATCCTGTTGAAACTGATCTTGTTCCCATTTTTTTCTTGGTCCCAGCAATTTCTTCAGGCCATGGAAATTTTTACTAATCGCCACAATATGGGAAAACAAAAGTTGTGCATACAGTAATTGAAGAATCTTCAAAAAATTCAGATGCTAATCTTTTGGTACAGGAAATTCAGCATTGCAGGTAGTCTGAAGCTCTATTCGAAATTTATCTAGCTTGATTTCGGATTTTGGAAATGGTCATTAAAAGAAGTTCATTTGACAGGGCACTGCTCTATTTTAGTGATCATACAGTTGTGAATGGATAATCGCACGCTTTGCACATTTATTTTTTTATTTTTTTTATTATTTTTCAGCTTATACTTCAAAAAGATCAATATATTTTTAGGAAATTTAGGAAAGGGAAGGTCTGAAATAAAAGAATTGAGCTTTTATATTTTGAATTATCTGTTGTTTCATCAAAATGAGTTGTAAATGCTTTAAATATCTATTGTGGAATTAATTCAATGCGTTAATCTTCTGTTTCCCTTAAATATAATTGTTTCTGTTTAGATTGTTCCAAACTTGTGTAAGCATATGGTGAAATTTGCGTCGAGTCAAGTAACTTCGATAACAAAATGCGGTAAGTTCGAACAGCCTGATCAGGATTTTTTTCACTTTTACAGGGAAGCCGTTGATCATTTTGTGTATGCACTTAATATTCAAGCAAATGCAAGAGGTTTGCACGGTTCTCAATCGGTTGCCTCAGAGTGCATTTGGAGAGCTTTGCGATTGTCCGCGAAGTACAGCGATCTTGGCGATGAATGTCTGGCAGCTTGCTCAAAAAGGCGAGTTGATATAATCAATAACTTCCCTGGAGTGATGAATCGAAAACCTTATATTTTTCAGGGACCTTTCCATGGTCAACCGTGAGCTTGGGTTCAAGTTGAATCCAGGGGCAGACGAATGATTCATTGTATACGTCGATTAGCTTTTTCGTTGTTGGTGTAGTGACGGATTCATACTCCCTGAAATTAAGTGACGGTTCGTTTGTTTTGGTTTCAATCGAGATAAGGCCAATTGGAGGTAGACTTCAAGTTTTCATATTCAAATGTGGAAGGATATTCATTCAAGTGCCATTCGTTGTTACTATGGCCATTTCAATTTGGTGACTGCTTGACCAAAACTTGGTCTAATTGATGTTTAATTTTCATGAAAAGGTTGTGATTTTATCTGGAGAAATGAATTTTTTTGGAAAGACACGAGTAATAATTTGGAAGTTTTGGAATGTGTACGGAATCAAAATTGGCTTTTTTTTTCTTCCTAGATATCGTGCGGGGCAATCTTTTATGAAGAATTAATTCGGGATCAGATGCGTATGCAGCAATGTCATTTCAGAGTAAGCTAGTCTCGAGTCTTGTGACTCGGGACTTTGAACTCTATGCGCCTGATAGTCTCGATGTTGTTCGCGAAGTTTATCTCTGACCTGATAGTGTGGAGAGGAAGTGCCGACTCATTCCGTATAGGACTTCTTGGGCACGAAGATTAGCCAATATGTGCAACGTGATGGGAGCAACTTTTCGTTGATATATTCCTCTTTCCGTGATGGAATTTTCTTACTGATGTTAGGTAATTTTGTAATAAACAGTTTCACTCATGGCCAAAAAACGTTTGTGTGCCTTGATCGATCTAAGTGGTACTCTCCACGTGGACGACGCTGCCATCGCTGGAGCACAAGAAGCGCTGAGAAGGTGAGCTGTTGATGTGTTTCGCTTTGTCAGTAATTGTGACGTATTCAAAATTTCCGTTCTAGACTTCGGTCAAAAATTTCTTGCGTGAAGTTTGTCACTAATACTACGAAAGAATCCAAGAGGCTGCTTCATTCAAGACTTACCAAAATGGGATTCGATATTGCGGTGGATGAAATCTATACATCGCTTTCTGCGGCACGAAACTTGTTGGATCAAAGAAAGAGCAATCCTTTGTTGCTTGTCGATGATTTCGCCATGGAGGAATTTCATGGATTTCCTACCAACGAAGAGAAAGACACAGTTGTAGTTGGTCTAGCTCCAGAAAAATTTAGCTATGAAAATCTCAATGAAGCATTCAGGTGAGCGTGTCTGAATTTCAAATCAACATTAATTCAAATCCTGTTCATGCTACGAATGTCAAATTTTCTTCAACCGTTTATTTTATCCACTTCCAATTTCATTTTATGCATGTTCACCTCAAGTAGATTTCTTTCTTTCATTTTAATTTTTCGTGTGCCGTTTTTTGTTGTTGAATATTATAAGTAATATAATGCAGTAATATATAAATAATCGTGATTATTTTTCAAATACGACACTTCGGGTAATAATGTAACGTAAAATCTAGAAGATTCCGAAACACTTTGCATAGGGAGCATTAATTTGTGTTATGTATTTGTAATGATTCTCTTGAAAGGATTTTTGTCATCAAATTTTCTTAATTGAGGTTGGTCCACGCGGGAGCTTCGCTGATTGCTGTGCATAAAGCGAGATACTACAAACGGAATGATGGCCTTGCTCTGGGCCCTGGGCCTTTTGTAGCAGCTCTTGAGTATGCGACGGGTTCAAAAGCTTATGTTGTGGGGAAACCCGAGAAGAGCTTCTTCTTATCATGCGTGGAAGGCATGGGATTTCAGCCTCATGACTGCGTCATGATCGGAGATGTGCGTGCTATTCTCAAGAAGATAGTTCGCGTTGCTAAATTAACCGATGTTATCATCTTACTTATTCTTCGTAGGATGTTCGGGATGACGTTTTAGGTGCCCAGAAAGCCGGAATGACTGGAATCTTGGTGAAAACGGGTAAATATTTACCCGGTGATGAAACCAAATTTGAGTTTTCTCCGAATTTTGTTGCAGCTGATTTCACAGACGCTGTTGAAATGATCTGTAATGATTTTGTATCCCCTAAGGCATGATGTCACAATTTTCTCGTTAGCTTATCTGATCTGAATGATTTCCCCCGTGTTGAATAAAGTCGCGGATGTTGTTTTAGCTGCTATGGATTTTTGTGATCCAGTAATTCCTCGTTTCATGCAATTCCATTCGCCGTTATTGTATATTTTATCTTATTCGATTGATACCTTGTCCGCGCGATTTTTACTTTGATTGATAATCTTAATTGAGTGGTAAATGTTCCCATATTTTTCCTCCTTACTCATATTTTCACCGTAATACTCTAGCACTATTAGAATTCTCGGAAGGCGGGAAATTTCGATCAACAAATGTGTTGATGAATGGCGCGGTGAATTTTTCCATTTTTATTCGTGATTCTCATTCTTTCAATGCCACGGGCGATGATTATTTTACCAATTGACATCGCCATTGATGTTCTTTCTTTCTTGAACAGAATTGCTTCATTGTAGATAACGGTCTTGTGGGAAAAGTTTTATCGTCCTCGTGTTTTAAACGGTTCTCGTGAATCGAATTAAAAGTAAACTTTTTATCCCGTGATGGCATCCCACCGGCTATTGTCTTGCGTATCCGTCCTAAATCAATTTAAATCTGGACTGAAGCCGCAACTAATAACTAATCGGCCCTGGAGCTCAACCTTAAGTAAGTTGGATTTTCGAACGTTGATTTGATTGGTGGAACTGATGATAGAATTCTTCGCAGGTGTTCGAACCATGAGTTTTGTTCACACGAAAGTGAAAAAACACGACAACGGGGTGGCTGTGCTTATGATTGATAGCCCTGGAACAAAGGTAGGCAGTTTAAATAGAATACAATACAAAGGCAAATCCAGGAGTTGGTAAATGTTCTCGCCAAAATGTGCGCTATTGAATCAAACTTTTACGTCAGCATTTGCAATTTGAACTTTTGAAGGTCAATACACTAAATCGGGAAACAATGCAAGAGCTGTCACAGCGTATGCAAGAGTTGAAGAACGACGATTCTGTGAAGTCGGTTGTGCTTATGTCGGGCAAGCCGAAGTGTTTCATCGCGGGGGCAGATATCAAAATGTTGGCGCAGTGCAAAACTGCTGAGGAAGCCGCGAAAATTTCCTCGGATGGACAAGTTCAGCTTCAACAGATCGAGGACAGTTCAAAGCCTGTGATAGCTGCTATTTTTGGTTCATGTTTGGGAGGTGGACTTGAGGTAAATTTTGTTTTGTTCTTGAAAATTAAATTCTTTTTCACTTGGCGGTCGAAGTCATTCGGTTGAGGTGCCGCAAGGAAATTGAATGAGCAAAGTTTAACTATTTACTGCATTGATTTTTGCAGGTTGCTTTGGCGTGCAAGTATCGGATTGGAATGAAAGATCCTTCAACGACGATCGGATTGCCGGAAGTTATGCTAGGTTTATTGCCTGGTGGTGGTGGTACCCAGAGATTGCCTAAACTCGTACCACTTCCGAAAGCGCTCGACATGGTGTTGACCGGAAGATCACTGAAAGCAGATCAAGCTAAGAAATTGGGTGTTTTGGATGCGGTTGTGGATCCGTTAGGCCCGGGCTTGAAGCCACAAGAGCTGAGGTATGTACAGTTATATAAAGAAAAATCAATTCGCGAGGTATATCCTGGTGTCCACGAATTTGTTTTATTATTTAGGAATATGGAGTATTTGGAAGAAGTCGCGGTCAAGACGGCTGCTGCGATAGCAAACGGCTCAATAAAAGTCGATAGAACAAAGAAGCCACTTCTTGCGAAAGCTACTGACTACATCATGAACATCGGTTTTGTTCGTGACAAGATTTTTGAGAAAGCAAAAGGCCAAGTAATGAAGCAAACCAATGGGTTATATCCAGCGCCTCTGCGGGTGAGCATCAGTTTAATTTTTATGAAGTATATGCAATTTTGGAGCAACACACACACGCACATTGGCCGTAATATGTGTATTTTTAGATTTTGGAAGCCGTTAAAACAGGACTTGAAAAAGGCTCCAAAGCTGGTTACAAGGCTGAATGCCAAGGCTTCGGTGACCTCGCTGCGACAAATGAAGCAAAGGGGTTGATGTCATTATTCCACGGTCAGACCGAATGTAAGAAAAATCCTTACGGGGAACCGAAACGACCTGCAAAGTGAGTCCTATGGTGAAATTGACAACGAGAAATGGATAACATGTAAACTGATCAATTGAATAAGCATATTAAATAAGCAGGAATTATTTACGGCTTAAATTTGATATTTGTGTCTCTCCTGAAGCGAAGAATGGTATATTTTCTTGTACTGTACAATATAATATTTTGCCAAGCTTGTTTATTTCTTTCTAGAACTCTTGCCGTCCTTGGGGCTGGGCTAATGGGTGCCGGTATTTGCCAAGTTTCTCTGAACAAGGGGTATACCGTATTGATGAAGGATGTCAACTACAAAGGACTTGCTCGTGGGCAGAGCCAAATTTCGAAAGGTTTCGGCGCTGCTGTTAAACGCAAGAGAATCTCGCGGTATGTCACCATTCGAAATCTGCGAAAGAATTCCCTACTGATTATTTTTCTGTTGACAAATTTAGCATGGATAAGGAACGGTATGAGTCAAATTTGATTCCTTCTCTGGATTACTCCAAGTTTGGCGGAGTTGACATGGTGATTGAAGCCGTGTTTGAAGACTTATCGCTGAAGCATAAAGTAATCAAAGAAGTCGAACCTCACCTTCCTGAACATGCCATCTTTGCTACCAACACTTCAGCTCTGCCGATCGCGAAAGTTGGTGCGGTTACCACACGCCCCGATCGAGTTAGTACATGTTCTGTGTCACATGTTTCACACAATTGACATCTTCGTTTGGTTTTTATAGTTCATTGGTATGCACTACTTCTCACCTGTAGACAAGATGCAGTTGCTTGAGATCATCGCGACGGAGAAAACGTCAAAGGATACCATTGCCTCCGCCGTTAAGGTTCGTTTAAAACGTGCAAGTTTTCGACCGAGACTTTCAGATTAGACTGAGAACTATTCATCTTTAACTTGAATTCGTCCCTTTTTTTATGGTTGCCCTGCTAAGACTGTGCTGTAATCCTGTTTTTTAGGTTGGTTTGAAGCAAGGAAAAGTTGTGATTGTAGTCGGCGACGGGCCTGGCTTTTACACCACTAGGATTTTGGGTGCCACGATGACGGAAGTCATCAGAGTTTTCCAAGTGAGCTTATTTTATTCGGTGCATTAGGACACGTCGTAATTCCGTCTTAATGTCGACTCGTTGCAGGAAGGAGAGGATCCAGAAAAAATTGATCGTTTGTCCAAGCAATTCGGATGGCCAGTGGGTGCAGCCACACTTGCTGACGAAGTTGGTGTCGACGTCGCCTATCATGTGGGGAACGATTTGAGTGAGGCATTTGGGGACAGATTCGCTGCCGGGAACGTGAACGTGTTGAAAGATATGGTGGACGCTGGATTTCTTGGTATGTCGAGTCCGTGTTGCCATTAAGTCACATGGTTTCCTTGAATAGTAACTTCGTCGATTTCTACGAATTTTACCGCTATTTTTTTAGTATTTGTGAATTCTTCTCAAGTTCGTTATATCCCGTGATGAAACTTTGAGAACGAAAAATCTGAATCAAGTTATAGTTTCTATGTTTGTGACTACCTTTTAATGCCACTCGTATTTTATGGTACTTCTTGCAATCAGAAAACCGTCGCCGAAATGTGCTGTGAATATTTTTTAGAATGGCGTTCTGTGAAATGATCGTATCAAGGGCGTAATATTCCTACAATAATTCTTCATTTTTTTTCGATTTTTTTTATTATAGGAAGGAAATCTGGAAAGGGTTGTTTTATTTATGACGGAAAGAAAACGTCTGGATCCAGGCCCATGAATAACGAGGCTCTGGAAATCATCAAACGTTACCGGCTGGAACCGAAGGGAATGAACAGTGATTCTGATCTTCAGCTGCGACTTGCGGGAAGATTCATCAACGAAGCAATCATGTGCCTTGAAGAAGGCATTCTGCGTTCACCGGTTTGTTGAGGAAAACTTTCTAATTTTGTTTGAGTAAAATCTAATGAAACGTTTTCTGCGCTAAGAATGAATCCGCTGCAGTATTTTCAACGAAGATTATTACTTGGAAAAAAGTCAAGTCTTGTAATTTATAATAGCATCGTGCATTGAGGTCGTCTTGAATTCTCAGGCGGAGTACAGGATTTTTTCTGAGTAACAAAATATTTTCATGAAGATGGTACAAAATTGAAGTTTAAAAAAAAACAATGCAGTACTGTACTCGCAACCATTTTCAGCTCAAAGCTACAAAATTCTCAACATTTATATATTCTTTTGTTTGAGGAGATGAAGCGGGTTTGATAAGATGGAGAGTGTCATTCATGCCCAGGACATTCGAAAGCTCAAAAGATTTATAATTGATCATGTTGAATGCATTTTTCAATGATTGCGCTAAGACGTGTATTAAGAAAATATTAAACCCTTTTCCCGTTAACCGGTTATTCTGAGCATTTTAAAAATATTTCTGTAAATATTTGATCAAACCATATAATATCAGATCTACGCTGATATTTCCGGATTTTTCTTCTTCGGTGATGAAAAAAATACCCTCTGCATAATCGAACAATCCTAAAATTCAAGATTAAAATGAATAAATTCATAGAACAAGTCAGCAGTACACATGCATGATCATTGGATGTTGAGTGAAGGACATTTATTTGACCTTGAATGAACTTGTGGCTTCTCATCGAAAACCTGTTTCAATTTTTTGGATATAAGCTGCTTAGTTTGGCAGCTTTAAATGTAAAGCTCCATACGACTTGGTCGATCTTCCGTACGCCAGGTCAACGAGCACGTTTTTGGATTGGCATAAGCAAGTTGAACCATCTTATGATTGTTGAAAAATGTCAAGATGGAACCCTCGGAATAGGCATTTCATGCCTCGCTCACTAAAACTCGCACCTCAGTTAGTTATCCATAGTACTCAAGATTTTTTCTAATTCTATGTATTTTCAGTTGGAAGGAGACATCGGTGCCGTTTTTGGCCTTGGTTTCCCACCATTCACTGGCGGACCATTCCACTTCGTAGATTCTTTTGGCGCGGAAAAGCTCGTGAACAAGATGCGAGAATACGAAAGTGTTTATGGGAAACCGTTCACTCCCTGTCAAATGCTTCTGGATCACGCCAAGACCGGCAAAAAATTTTTTCCCGATTCCTAGTGCGCAAATGAACGAATGATGGATGAGTTGGGTTTAGTGTCATTCCTGGTTTTGCTAAGTTGAATCAGTTCCGGCGAATTTTAAGAGCACGCTGGTTGACTAGATATGATGGGGAAAGTGGCGGAATGGATAGTTTTCCGCTTAACCGAGCAATGCAATGTACAGCTTTCCAAAATTTATTTATTCTACGTGAGGTGGGTTTAATCGGAGCAAATCTCTGACTGGGAACAAAAAGATAAAGCGATGGGTGTATCCAACCTTGTACAATGCCTGAGTTTGTTGGATTTTGAGAAAATTGAAGCTTCCATTGCTGTAATTCACCTATCTTGACTTTTGTTTGTTCTGGCTTTCCAGCTTTTGTATCGCTTTTTTGTTGTTGCCTGAAAATGGCGAAAGTAAAAAAGATCATTGAAGATGCTCGAGATTCACAGAACAATGAATTGGATCTGGTCGACAAGGGCATAGCTATCTTCGATGATCTACCGTCCATTAGTAAGTATAATCAGTCTTATATCATGTCGCGTTGAAAACCTTGAAACTTTTGTGTACATTTTTCAGTGACTTTGTCGAATCTCACGAGACTGTCTCTGGCGCACAATAAGTTGACAAGTAAGTTTTAAAATTTAGGGGAGGATTCCAGAATATTTTTCTGTTTCAATCGTCGTAGGTCTTCCTGCTCATATCGCGAACTTCTTTCACTTGGAAATTTTGAATCTTTTCAATAATCACCTGGAGGATCTGCCGACGTCCATTTCCTCCATGCCAAATCTTCGGATCCTCAACCTGGGGTACGAAAGGATTTCCAGAAAACTTTATTATCTGTGTAACAAAAATTAATTTTATTACAGAATGAATCGCCTCAGCGTTTTGCCGAGAGGGTTCGGAGCTTTTCCTGTTCTCGAGGTTCTGGACCTCACGTATAACAACTTGAGTGAAAAATCTCTTCCTGGAAATTTTTTCATGATGGGTGAGCCGCTTTTTAGCCTCTATCCTCATCATTAATTGACGAGTTTTTTTAAACGCGCAGAATCATTAAGAGCGCTTTACCTGGGAGACAACGATTTTGAAGTTATTCCGCCGGAAATCGGGATGCTGAAGAACCTGCAGATCCTTGTGTTTAGAGATAATGATCTGATTTCTCTGCCAAAGGAAGTTTGTAGTCTGACGCTGCTTCGAGAACTTCATGTAGACGGAAATAGGTTGACGGTGCTTCCTCCTGAGCTTGGAAACTTGGACTTCCTGGGTCCCAAAAGCTCTTTGCGTTTGGACAATAATCCTTGGGTCAATCCGATTCAGGATCAGTTACAAATTGGCATATCTCATGTCATATCTTACATTCGCACGGAGACTTACAAATAGTGAGTTTTTATGAGTTTTCATTGAAGCTGTGCTCATTTCTCAATTGTCAACTTGACACGATGCTTTTTTCACATCTTTTCAGCGAATAGCTTATTCAATTGTTTATCTCGCCGAGAGACTAATATTTATTCACGGTTTTGTTTTTCAGTTTGTATGGACGTCACATGGCGGCAGGGATTCCACCACCGCCAAAAACGAACGACAAGACCAAGAAAATCTCCAGAAAACGTGAAGGCTGAAGGAACATTTTTTGAAAGCTTGAGAGACGAAACCAACTTTATCTCACCAAAACTTTTCGACTTGTGCCTTATTTTTGTCACTTTTGACCAAAGGACCGTAATTTTACGCATATTGATATACCGGAATACTTGCTGACGTGCTAATGAGAAGAGCAGGTATCCAGATATAAAACTAGGGGAGAAAACATGAGGTCGTCGAGCGAAATATTGTGTGCCAGGATTTTTTTATAACTTCTTACTTGACATCGGTGCTATTTGAGTTCTGATTTTCTGGTTGGCGTGTGAGGCTAATGTTAGTCAAATGCTTTACCAGCGCTTGTTGTAATGCTGTGCTCCCGTGATCAATTGACCTGTTAATGCTGAAGTGCTAATTTTTTGTGCTCTTTTTTTCATTTGCGTCGAGAATAACGACATAAAATGAGTAACACGTTCAGCATTCTGTCTTCGTTTGGAGCATTCCCAATGAGTTCCCTCGTAATATTTATGTGCTAGCTTCCCAATCATTTACGAAAATGTGGGATGAAAATTTTGTGTTATTCACCCATTTTTGAGAGCGATGGTACTTCGTTGATAATGCTCCAGCAGGCGTATGATTCTTGGAATTGTGATTTTTTTAGTGCGCATGATCAATTGGGTAGATTTGACCTGATACTCCCGGAGTTCTCTCGGGTTTTCTCTGTTTGAAGCAGAATGATTTAACCAAAATTCAAAAAAAAAATAAAGTTTCAGTGCTGTGTGCGTCTATGTAATGCTCGAGCCGGCAAATGTACCGAAGTGAGGAATGAATTGGAAAGCAAGTTCACCATGGAGAAAGAGGCAATCAAACCGCCTGACCTGCCAGCCAGAAGACGTGGCGGCAACAAGTTTGGTCCTCACCGGACAGTTCCAGTTTCGTCTATCTTGGACACGAAACCTGGACCAAGAATTTTGCGAAAGGAGGAAAATGCGTGGAATTATGGTGCGGTGAAACCCCTGCTGGATTCAGAAGCAGATTTTCCTTCGCTTACCCCGCAGAAAAGAAACGTCGATTACTCTTCCACCGAGGAATCGAAGCAAGGAAAAACGGCTGTTTTCGTTCCCTCTTTGCATTCTTCGCGGAAGCGTGAAAATGTTGTAGATTCAAGTGGTAGTTTATCTCGAGCAAATGAGGAGCGTTTTTTTGACGATTCTACTGACGGCGTGAGAAGGTCGAAGACAAGAGGTCCCCGACCGTTTAACTCGGTTCATAAAAAGACCAACAAAAATAAAAATGAGACACCTGAAGAAATCCAAAAGGAATTTCCATTAGAGAACAGCTTGCGCTCAAAAACAACTGAAATATTAGAGAAGTCCGAGGAAAAGAAGAAGAAGAGGAGGAGTCGTAATAAGCGAAAGCCTGAAACACTTGGATCTAAGTCTGTTCAGGTTTGGGACAGGTGAGAGTTCATGGTCCTCTTGTTCACATTTTAACCATTTTTCTGTTTGTTGCGGTGAACCAGCATATCTCCGGTTTTTTAATGAATCATTCTTTATGCTGTAGGACAAAATTCGAAAAATTCAAGAATGCGTCGGCAGCCAATGATGAAAAACAGAACGTGACTGTCAGTGAACTTGGTGACGAAGATTTCCCAGAATGGCCACTCGGTCATTCGTCGTTCACAACGAGTCCGCAGAAGAAGCCTGATCATCCAAAAGAAGAAATATGCGTGAAAAAAGAAATATGCGTGAAGAAAGAAGTTGACGACGGCTGGGAGGATATTACAGAACCCTGGGTTAGCTATCCGTGGTCCAAACCAGACGATAGTGGAGAGGTGCATGAAACTGCCGCTGGTCATTTGCAAAAGCTTTCCACCGGTCTTAGTTACAGCAACGTACTGAAATCGCTTCTGCCCAAGGTGCGAACGATATTGATTCGTCTTACTGTTTAGTCTTGCTGTAAATTAAAATAACAATTTTTGATCTTTAGGAGCAAAAACGCGGACGGAAATTTTTCTTGTTCGAGGTTGAGGACTACGATTAATCTCGAGCTTTTTCTGGCCGAATCATGCATTCTTTAGATTTTTGTAATTTACTTAGCGCAGTTTTGAAAAATAATGTTGAGAAAATCCTCTATTATGGATGCATTAAAAAAAAAGTTCAATGATTTCTGGGTAAGGTTTACCGAAGGGGAATCAATATGGTGAATCTTGCAGGGTTCTGAATTTCATGTGAATAAAAATCTGTAATTTTTTTTTCTAAGCAGAAAAAATTGGAATCGTAATTTTTGGGTTTCGATGAATCTGCTTGTGTATGATCGTAATCCAAAATGCCTTACTTCAATCTAGGAAACACGGAAAGAAAAAACGGAAGGTGGGGAATCCGGAAATGCTAAAACATCTGAAAAAAAGAAAACTCGACAGAAGCGGAAGACGAAAGTTGGAAGTGCGGAAAAAGCTTCCGCTGCTCTTCAATTGTCAACACCCCCGAAGCGGAACGAACCCATTAAACTCGACCTTTTTGCTGCAGTGTTATCTGCGAAAGTCAAAAAAGAAAAATCGGTGTCTCCGATAGTCGTGCAGAAGAAGGTTTCAGCTATCAAAACAATTGGAAACATTCTGGATTCAACTGCTCCACGAGTGCGTCGAGGTAAAGAACGTGAGAAGCCGAAGGTGAAAAAGAAAACTCGCCTCAAGGCGTTGATATTAGCTGAGCGTGCTCAACGTGCTAAGACGAGGAAAGCGCTTTCTGAAATCAATTGGGATGACGCTGAAGTTACGGTTCTAAGTCCTGGTGTTGAACCTCTCTCGAAGAATCGTGATGAATTGAAAGCGCAACAAATGACTGCTTTGCACGATTCGAGCAGAAACTCGGGCTCTTACCTTTATTCAAGGCGCTTTCGCGATTATTGTGACAATTCAGTTACCCCGGAATTGAATGATCACGTGACTCGTCTGATCAAGGAGTTGATGCGATTTCAGGACAGGCTGCATCAAAAAGACCCCGTTAAAGCACGTATGAAGCGCCGCCTGGTTTACGGACTTCGTGAATGCATTAAACACGCGTCTCTCAAACGTGTGAAGGCTGTTCTCATTGCACCGGACCTAGAAAAGGTGGAAGGTCCGGGTGGTTTATATGACATGATTTCAACCATCAAAGAACTTTCAACGCAGCATAGCTTCCCTTTCATTGCTTGTCTGAATCGGAAAAAGTTGGGGTATGTCTGTATGAAGCGCGCTCCAGTGTCTGCTGTTGCAGTCCTTGATTATTCTGGAGCCGAGGAGATTTTCAAACCCTTAGTGGCGATTTTTCAAGTTGCAAAAACCAATTTTGAGGAACGGGTAAAAATGGTCGAAACACAAATAAAGTTGGGTGGTGATACCGGAGACATTCCGTCAAATTCATCGGACCTGGGGAAATGTCACGAAGTTGATTCGGAAGAGAAAGATCTGGTTTTCACTGAGAAATCTGGAGAATCAGAGGAAAACCAAAGGCTTGAACTTGTTTGTGCGAGTAGCTCAAAATACCCTGAACGTTTAGGCGAAGATTTTTTGAAAGCTTGTGATTGAGTCCGGATTGCTGTGGTGCTTGCTTTGTTTACGGATGGAGAACTTCTAGAATCGTCATGCTTGCTGTTCCAGGCGAAGGGTATTAAGTGCACCTTTCATATTGATGGAAGGTGTTGCTGTTTAAAATAAATAATTTTTCGAAATTCGTTTATTTTTAATCATTGTGAGTTTTGCTTTGATATTGTGGAACTGTTGCAAGAATGACATTTATAATTTCAGGCTGAAGATCTGCGCTCTTTTTTGTTTATTTGCGTTAGATATATTTTTCGTGATGATTTTTTGTCTGGAGAGCTGAGATCTTCTGAAAGGTGAGCGACTTTTTTCCTCGATGTGACCTATAAATTCAAAATGATGGTTTATTATTCATGTATTAGCTGATTTTCTGAGATGAATCTTCTGTGACTGAATTCGTTTTCAAAATAGCTGGCTTTTTTTTATATTTTGAAACGTTGAAGAATGTCTTCATCCTGTTGCAGGTGGTCGCTTTTATTGGCATGAGCTCTGCAATGTAACTCCTGACGGGGAATCGTGGATGATGAACTAAGTATGTTATGTGTAAATATTCGTCCCGCGTGAATGTTTTTCCGTTAATGATGATTTTCATAACTTCATGTATTATCTTAAAAAATGTGAAGAAGAAAAATTCCTGAAAATCTTGACACCGTCATGAGTTACCTCAAGATTTTACGGGTACTGAATAATTATGTTCATTTCAGTGTCTCAAGTCCAGAAAATCGGAAGAATGTAGCTGCGCTTCGCCAAATAAACCGTGACTTCCGCATTTTTAGGGTAAGTAAAGACAATAAATTTATGATGAAATTTCTAGATGATGTTCTTGAAGACTTCATGTATTATCTGGAATGTTTTGAAGAAAATATTTTCTGAAAACCGGTCGCCGCAAAAATAGGTTCCTGAAAATATGATTGCTAATTAATGGTACTGTACCGCTTCATTCATTTCAGTTTAATCGGCGGAAAACATCTGACACGTTTGGGAGAATTCTGCCTGTAAAACTGACCTACGACTTGGAAAGGTGATCAGAAGTTTATTTTGCGGTGTAATTCCTAAATGATGTCCTGAAAATTTTCATGTATTATCAGAATCAAATGTTGAATTGCGTTGTATTGATCTTTTCGATCAGTAACGTTTAACTCGATCGCCGTTAAATTATGCTGAAAGTATTTTTCCCTTGTGCAGGGTTTTATTTGCTGGAGCGACTTGAATTCTCAGGTTCGGGAAGTCATCTTTTCTGGAGCATTTTTTATTCATCAATTCTGTTGAAGGGGGACATTTGTCAGTCATTCCAGTTCTGAACACTCTGAAATGACATCGTTTTTGGAGAAAGGAGGTTTCCTCGACCATTGTTTGGACAGTGAGTAAATTGAAGAGAAGAAGGTACGTAATGTTGATCCACTCGTGTTTTTAGGCTTGAACTGCTTACCCTCTGAAATACACCGAAGTTTTGCTTTACTTACGGATCTGGAGAAAAGAGCAACCCAGGCAATGACAACGATTAAGACGAATGAAGCTGCATTGAAGGAAAAAATTTCTTCGATTACCGGGGAAGAGAAGAAGCGATTGATGGACGAAATACTGCTCTTGTATCGGGAAGTGCATGTTCTTAGCGAGGAGAAGGTGCAACTTTCTAAGCAATCGTATGAACTCGTAAGGGAAATTTTGCATGATTCTACATTGAATGCGTCTTCGTGTCGAATTTCGTTCGTGGAATTTGACATTTCTTTCGATTGTGTTTTTCATAGTTGAGTTTGCGATGGGACTATTTATAGGTTGACAAACATATCCGGAAGTTGGACAAGGAAATCACGGACTTCGATAGAGAAGTCATCGAAAAATGCGGGTCGTTGGCTGTCTTCGCAGGCTTGAATCCTGAAGAAGACTTGAAACCTGGTAACAAGGGATCGAAGCCAGCCCAAGGTCCCCTTTCCCCGTCAGGAGATGCCAAGAAACGCGGAAGGAAAAGAAAAATAGTTTCCACTGAACCCCAAACCCCACCGAAAACTAATGAAGGACCCGCCACGTTTTCCTCTCCCATGTCGATGTTGCGAACCATTGCCTCAGAGGGTGGTCTTGACATGCCTGTGGATCCCAACGAACCCCTTTATTGCATCTGCAACCAAGTTTCTTACGGGGAAATGATCGGTTGTGACAATGTTGAAGTAAGATATTTTTTCATGTGCCCGATCGGAAATTTATTTCTTGATTATTGTGCAATTTTTGTTTCAGTGCTCGATCGAATGGTTCCATTTTCCTTGCATGAATCTGACAGCAAAGCCGAAAGGAAAGTGGTGGTGCGCGCAATGCGCTCCCAAATATGATCCGAATTACAAGAAACCTGCGTCTGATCAGCATTGAATTTGAAATCTCATTTTCTGACGTGTAATGCCGCGAACGTTTGTATACGTAATACATTTTTTTAACGTTGCGCAATCTTGTTTCGTTATTTTTAAAATTGATTTTTAATGTTTGAAATGGACTACATTTTGCTTTCAGGGAAATCCAAGCAACTTCTGACACTTATTTGTCATCAGTTTTTTTGAATCAACAGTCGATGAAAACCTTTCATGATATATTTATTTTCCAGGTAATCGTCGCTTTCACCGCGATTGTATCTTTCAGATGAGGTGGAAGTGAGCAATTTGCGCATGGGAAGTTATCCACGAAATCACCGACTTGTGAAGGTGAGTCATACGTCGCATGTCTTCGGTTTTGAAATTCGAATGTGTGCGTCGGTTGGAAGGATTCGTGATGCTTTCCGAATGTAGTGCATCTAGTGTCCCATCAGTTCTTACGATTGTTTCCATATTTAAGTACAGTATCTCTATCCTGAAGGATATGGAGTCGGATGTTTGGTTCTCATGCGATGTCGTAGAACCCTGTTGATGAAAGGGTTCCGTCGCACATTGCTCGGGTGCATCTTTCGCGGTACTACCCAATCGTTTTCGTCGTACTCGAGGTACTTGCTCTTCCATCGTGGGCGCATCTGTAATCGGGATGGTCTCTGTTGCCGTTTGCGGTGCTTGAATGGATTCACCAATCTGGAATAATTTCGCTCAAGTGCGGGTTGATCCAACGTGTCATCATCGTAGTTCACTGCTTGACGAATCATTCTGGTCGATGTGAAGCTATCTTCGCTAGGACCAGGAGAGATGCTAGTCACAACTTGTACTGGTGTTAGTTGCAATGTGTCAAATTCGCGAGCATCGTTCAGTGTGATTTGTTTAGTGCTGGGAATTTCTTTGAGCATTTGGAGAATCGTCATCAGTGATGGGGAATCTTCGATTGAACGTTTCGTAAAGATTGAGTTTTTCAGTTCGCGAGGATGGCTTCTTTTGAACGTCCGGATTTCGGGAATGAAAAACGATGTTCCTTCTAGATTGTTTGTAGGGATCGACTCGCTCGCGACCCACTCTGTTTTTTGCGTGATGGGAAGCCCAGGTTGTTTGTTGATTTTAGCAGTCTTGTTTTGTTCCAAAGTCCTTTTTTGATAGGCCGCTCGTGTTTCAAACATGATCTTTAGGCCATATTTTTCCGTGGTTGGTCCTTTCCCGTGTCTGGACGACTTGGGATGTTGGGGTGCGAATGTCGTGGGATTTGTTTTGCGTTTTTGCGTCGTTTTCTCGTCTTTCTTTTTCGTCGTTGCACGTAAAACTATGCTACTAGCCTCCGTTACTTGTTTCGTTGGCGGAAGCTGACCGGAATTCTGGCTTCTGAGCAGCGGATGGTCTTCTTTCACGCTGGGTAACGGTGCTAATGTTAGCCAGGATTTGCTTTTTGCCTGCAAGTCTTCTCTTGGGTTTAAAGTTGTACTTCTAGTCTGCGGTAATGGAAGCTTGCTGATCTTTGTAGTTTTAATCGTTGAAGTTGGAGTTGTTTTTGTCGTGATTTTTTGAACAGTTATTGCCGTAGTACGAATAGGGTCGGGCATTTTTTTGGTCACTGCTGGTCGAGGTGTGCTTTTCCTGATGGGTTGAATCGTTGATGATGGTGTTGTGGGATTATCTGTCTTAGTAATGGGCTCCTCCGTGGTTTTCGTGGTTCGTTTCTCCTGAGGTATTTTACGCGTGATTCCCGAGGGTTTTTTGGTAGGTTTGTTGGAGTTTGCCTGTGGGATCAGGTCTTTCAAGTTCAACATAAGGCCACTGTTTCCGCCCTGCAGAAGCCTCAGGGACTTCGTAAGAGGTTTAATCACTGTTGGTATGTTCGGAATTTTTTCCATCTTCAAAGTGCCGATGTACGGAAGCTTAGTCTTCAATGGCGTCGGTTTTTTGTTTGGCGATTTTGTCGTACTCTTGGGGGTCGGATTGCTTTTGCTTGTGGTGTTCTCGTTGGGTTTTTCTTTAGTTATGCTTGTCTTTTTGATGGTGGATTCTTCGTCCGCGGAAGTCACTTGATCCCGAGGCCCGCCGCCAAAGAGACCGAAGTGGCCTGCACGACTTTTGTATCCGAATAATTCTTTTTCCGTCTTTCGTTCCGGTTTTTTAATTTTCAGCATCGGACGAAAGAGTGGAATTTCCTGGAATCTCGTTCGAGGGTTCTTCTCCTTTGATGCGAGTTGTATTGTGGTGCGGAGCTCTGATCGCTTTTTGGGATCAGGGTTTGATTGGTGACGTTTCAGCAGGCTGGGTAATGGAAAATTCGGATTTCTTTGTGCAGCGCTGATTTTCTTGGCGGCGTATTGGATTAGTCGAGCTTTTATGATCCGATTATCTTTTTCGGACGATTGTCGCTTCAATTTGCTGGTCACGTGTAGCGGAATAAGCACGTCGTGAACCTGTGTAAGATTTAAAAAAGTGTTACAGCGGTATATCCTTGAATAAAATATGCTGCGCGAAAATAAAATCAAAGTAACTGTACTCTTAATTTCTGTTTCGTTTTTTTTGTGTGGCTAGAATGGTTTTCTCGGACGGTATCCTTACATAGCTAGAAAATCTGACGGGAATCATTGCTGCGAGAAACTGGGATTTTTATTTTTTTCAATTAAGTTCTAAATATCCAGACGCCAAACAAATATTAAATTATCCAGACGGTATACAGTATTTTCATATCGTGGCGTGGATTTGTAAGGGTAGTAAATTTAATTTGTATTTTCTGAATATTTGCGTAAAATTTCCAAAATTCAGCCAAGCGTTCAAAAATGGGACTCTTTTTTTCTTCCTTCTAAGGATCTACATAACCCTTTTTTAGACTGTTTGTTTACGAATACTTGATTCAATTATTCAAACTACTGTACCCATTGTCCGGTAACGGACGAAAACTGCGGAATAATTTTCAACAAATTGATGTTGATCTTTTAAAAAAAACGAGGAATTGCTCATCGTTAAAGATGAATGCAACTGAAATGATTCAAATGATGTGGATATCTTGAAGACTCAAAAGTTTCGAGACTTTCTAGCTTCCGTCTCTTGAAATCCACTAGATTGACTTAGTATGTACTCTTCTCGAGGCTTATTTCAACTCCTGAAGGTTTCCTTAATAAATACCCTATTCTTTGGATCGCTTTCCCCAATCCTGTGCTGTCACCATATTTTTTAATGAGTCCCTGTTTTTAATTGCGTGCTCTTCACGAGGAAAATAGCAGATGCAATAATCGCCCTGCGAATATTCGTCGAACAAATTTGCGCCATTGGCCTCTTCTTTGAGCAAAGTTGGCCTGGACATAATTTTGTTTCAGTAATTCTTGGATTTAGATGCCTTTTTTGTTAACTGAAGGCGTACAAGTTTCTGCTAGTCGTCACCGACTCTACATTATCTTGGCTCTGAATTTTCTTAACCTGATTCGTTTTTCATTTCCACGTTGGACGCCAAAATGCCCGTTTCAGGTGCACGGACAATTGGAGTATAACCTATATTTATGGGTGCCTTAAGTTCCCTACTTCATGCAATATGTTACCTTCCGAAATTCGCTGTGAGGTTCGTCTTCATTTGCAGTTGGAAGCGGAAGGAAACTTGGCAATTCTTTCAGCGGGACGTAAAAAGGGCGTATTGTCGTCGTCGTGAAATTTGCGATTTGTTTTCTGGTTGAAGTAGTTTCAGCATCGTCTTCTGTGTTCCAAGTGAACCCTCGGCCGTATTCCTTTGTCGACGTAACCCTACTAGGGTGGGCCTGATGAAACCATTCCTTGGCGAGGTTCTGCTTCTGGTGACCCTGTTTTGGCAATGACGATATGCAAAATTATTTCCTGGAACGCTAAATTCAGTTTTTGTTTTACATTTTTTATTGCGGGTGACGATTGCGCCCAAAACTTCAAATTACACTTACAACAAAGGTTTTTTTTAATCACAGCCTAATGATGTAGGTATATTTTGTGTGCGATTTTTTGCTGGAAAACACAAAGATCATAATGCATGGGACATTATGCCATTGCATGCGTGTTTCTCTGTAAATTTAGTTCAAGAATTCCCACAATGCCCGTGATGTTATTCCACCCCGTGATGCAATCATCCAATTGGGAATGTACGAAACAGTTAGAAAAGGAATTGTTTAAATGTAAATTACGAAAGAAACTTATAGCTGTTGACGGGTTTCTGAAAGTCATGTTCATTTTGCATTGCATCAAATGTTCTGCAGACTGACTTAAAATTACTGTAACTGCCAACGTGGTAAGGCGAATTAAAGAATATCAAATCTTGCAATGAGACAGAACATGCAGTCCTTTGTCTATTGGGAGGAAACCTGAATTTAATGTGAGATGTAATTATGTCTGAACTTTCGACGGGATAACCTGTAGTGCTTATTAGAGAAGCGACAGAAGTGATTTCGCAATGGAAAACGTCCAAGGGATTTTCTTAATGATAATTTGGGTTCACGTCAAGCGCATTTATTGTCGTTATTTCAACAAAAGCAAATGTTGGAAACGTTTTGTCCGACTTTTCAAGTTCTCCGGAAGGCATTTCCAACGATTTCTCTGATGGAAAGAGCAGGAATTTGCATTATTACATTGCTTCATTAGTCTCACTCGAACCATTAAAGCTGTTGAATAACTTATGGGACTTCCTTGTGTTTGATTTGATCACCCTTATATTGACTAATGGGAAAAAAATTGCGAAAAATACAGTTCGCAGGAGCAGCACAGCCAAAGTGAACTCTCGAGACTTCTGGAAATTTCGATTGTCAAAGAGGTATTTATCACTGTTTCCAGCGTGGGGTTCAGTTTTTAAAAGAAAAATGATCAGTACTGTACTGCACTTAATCGGCTTGAGCAGATCCGTTGAAAAGAATAAAAAAGTTCCATGTTAGATTCTGCAGGGCTGAAGACATTTGTAAAATTCATGTACCTTTCGTGCAGCTTATTTTTCTACTCAATTCGTGACTTCTATCGAAAAATGATCAGCATAGATTTTCTTCGAGATTGAAATTCATCATGTTGCTGCTCATGTATTAATCGAATTAACCTCGTGTTCGTAATTCTGATTTTCCAATTAATTTTAGATGTTGTGGGGCAGTGCATCATCCTTGAAAACGCAAATTTTTAAAAATTTTGAAACCAATATTTTGACGTAGCATGCAGCTACTACAACTAAAATCAATGTACCTTTCAAATTAATTTTCGCGTGCACAATTCAAGCTTGAATTACTTGAAATTTATGAATTCAACTCTTCTTTCTATGAAAAAATCCTGTGAATTTGTTTCAGCTGGGCCTGCTTTTGCACTTACTATTTCTTTGGGTTCGAGAATGTTTTGAGTTTCGTCATCAGCGTTGAGCGAATAGAACTGCCTCCTTTCGCCGGGTTCATTATATCGCTCTTCTGTGACAGCTTTGGGAACATCTGCCCAAATCACCTCTGATTTTTCTTTTCCAACTGGTGCATTATTGGCCAAACCAAAAAATGACTGGTCTGCCGAATGCGGCCAAGGTGACATCACTTTTCTTGTTTGATTTTCTGTAGTCGGAATTTGTGTCGTGACATATTTCCTTATCGTTTTGAAAACGCGTGGCCTGGGGGGTGTCGGTTTTGTAGTCACCAGTGTCGTCCGGGTTGTAGATTTGAAATCAGATGACGTCGTTTTTGTCGACGTGGTGGTCGTTTTCATCTTGGTTTCCACCTGTGTTTGTTGAATAGTCTCGAAGCGTTTTAGAGTTCCGCAAGTCGTTCCTGCTGGGACTCCTGCGTCAGTGTTTGGGCATAGGATCCACGTTGGACCGTTGTGTCGATGAGCGCTTTCTGTGATTCCCTTTTCCGGAATGATGATGTCCACAGTTGCGTACATTTTGGGGTCTTTGTGAATTTTAATTGCCACACCGGGTGGACCCGACTTGGGCCGAAACAAGCGCATTTTGCACTTGTCGTAATCCTGGGGGATACGATTCGCTCGAGTGGTGAAGGACTGAAGCGTGCGAAACACGGGTTTCGTCCGAGGTATCGCGTGGGTCGTGTGTTTTTTGACGATCGTTGAAGGGATCTTTATTATGTTGAGCGTAGCTTTGGATCCTCTCCTGGTTATCGTCGTGGGGGTTGTTTGGAGCGTCACTGTGCGCCATTTCGGGGTCGTCAGGGGAATTTTCCGGGATATCCACTTTCGAGGCGTGATTCGCGGGGTGGATTTCCAAGGGGCTATCCGTTGGTGAAGGGGTTCCCCGTGCAAGAATCGCTTCTTCTCTACAGCGGATTCCTGAACTTTGTACGACGGCGATGAGTGATTGATGCGTGACGTCGTTAATGCGTGGGATTCCGGCAAGTTGATGTTCATGAAGGTGAATCGGTTGTTGTTGAAGTTACGGGACACTAACGGGGCTGTGATTGTTTTGGCTTCGCTGGATTTTCTGGATTCCACCTCGGCTGTGATTGTTTTGGCCTCGCTGGTTTTTCGGGATTCCGCCTCGTCTGAGGTTGCTGTTAGAACGTCGTCCGGAGTTTCCTGCGAAAGAAATATTTTTCGAATGTCTTTCGAAAGCGCTTTTAAATTTTCAAATTATGATGCGGTAACTATTTTAGGTTGGAATGAAGTGGAGTTTTTCGAAAGTCCTGCGCATCACCAAAAAATAGTCGTTACAATTTTTGGGAAGGAAAAGCATATGCCGCCAAAAATTAGAAGATTTTTTTTTCGTAGATAAGTTGCCACCCATTTGACTAGTCGCGAGAAGCCTATTGATTTTCTTGAAGAAATATATTTCGGAAAATTATATTTTGTAATGCAGTTGAACCTCTTCAAGTCGAATTTCAAGGGACCAGCAAAAAAGTCTACCAAGGTATGTTTTTTTTTAGTGATGGAAGCGAGCAATTTTTCGGGGAAAGAAAGAAGAATCACAGGAAATTGTAATTGTCTATATTCTGGGCCTTGAATTGTTTCTTAAATGAGTTGACGGGATGTTGAACTTGGAGGCAAGGGTTTATTTGCCTAGAAGTCTTCCACTTCCTTTCAAAGCACATCAAATTACACTTTTTACTGCTTTTCAGCTTCTCTTGTCAATAAAATGATAGTCTGAACTCCGAAGGCTTTCAGAAAATAAGAGTGATGAAGGTTCGAGGGGAAAAGCCTTCGAGTTATTTAGAGGTTTAATTGCATTGTTACTTGGGGAATTGCGACAGGGCCTTGAGATTTTTGACTTCGTTATTGAGATCCAACTGTATTTGATTTAACGCGAATACTTGAAAACATGTAAAATGCTGGACGAGCCATTGGAGGAAATGCTGGCGAGAGAAAATTCGAAGTCCCCTTAGAAATCCGAGAAATTTATTATACAGGAGGACTCGCTCTACAGCGGAATTCGGGGGATCAGAGGAAATTTTGTCGTAGAGAACTCGTATGGGACACGAAAAAGTCATCGTACTGTACATGGAAAATGGTTATAGGGAGAGTCGACCTGTAAATAAACGACGGAATCAGAAATTTTCGGAAATTTTGCCGCTGAAAAATGGACGCGATTTTATTTTTATTTTTTTACAAGTTTAAAAAAATACCGTATGTTTGGTATAGAATTTAAAAATGCGAAAAAGTATCCCAACTCCGCTTGCTGAAAAACGAGTCGTAGACGCTGTCAGCTTCGTGTTCGTCTGCTCTATGATGGGGTACGATTTCGTAGTCCACCTGCTCCCACTTCCGATCGCTTTCGAATTCGATTTCAGTTCCTGTTTCTCCATATTCCCGATGACGTCATCGATGGCTTCGTGAATCACTGTGTCCAGCTCGGAGACCAGTTCATTTTTCAACTTATTTTTATGTCTGGACAGTACATCCAATTGTGAGACGTTAAATTCGGCCCCACGTTTGGTGGGTCGAGTGACGACCCTGACGGTATGGTCGTCGGCAGTGTTGAGAAGCGCAGTGTCGATGAGTGCCTTCATTGTTTCGTTGAGCGCTGCCGACAAGTACCCGTATTTTGGCGCTTTTTTTGGCGGAATGCTGGTCGTGCGGCTGCTGTAATGCGGACCGAGCTTGGCTTGGAAGATGACCACTGGTGAGCCCTGGCTTATTCGACGAAAAAAAGGGAAGGGGATCAACCAGGGTAGAAAGAGGGAACAATATCAGATTTTTGTGTGTGGTTTTTCACGAGATATATGCTGAATGAAAGCAATTTTTTTCATTTTTTTTATTCAGCTGTCCAAGAGATACGATACTTGAGGGTAATCGTATCTCTTGGAGGCAAACGGGGGAGGGGGTATATGCCAGATTTTCTGTGATCATTAGAAAAAAAATTCTTCATCGAAGTTTACAACCCTGAGCTCATTTTTAAATTTTTCCTACGTCCCTTGAAGAAGAGAAAAAAATCATAACTCTCTGTATTCATGCTCATGGTTCCAGAAAAACATGCGACGCGAACTTTTTTTTTCCGGTCCCATTACGTCCACCGAGGGGGACTCTCTCTACATAGTCTACAACTAAATTCAAAGGACCAGGAAAAAATTATCTGTCGAGAGATTTTTCGATGTAGATAATCTCAATAACATGGCGAGAGAATATTAATGGAACAAAAAATCAGTATACAGTAAAGAGAAAGTCGAATCGCAACGAAATTCAAGGGGCTAGAAAAAATTGTAGTAGAGACACTCTAAATAGTCTAAAAGTTCAAAACATGGAGGGAGAACCTAACAGGACCAAAGAATTCATCATATAGAGAAACTCGTTGTAGCAGAGATCTTTCTAGAGAGATCCCACCAAAACTTACAACGATAATGCGTCAAGTACCAAACAAATTATTTTTTAAATATTTATTTCACAGTGTATGATTAGCAAGAGGTATGGTCGCACTTCGACTGCCAGCTAATCTGTGAAACATGCCCGTGTGGCAGTTGAACCATATTTCATCGCAGTGGCGAGGTTTACTGATAAATCATATGTTTTCTCATTTCAAATTTTGTCCGGAAAAAATGCATAAATTGCAGTGAAAGCATCAAATGTCTACTTTGTAGAAATTTCGACCATCTTGGTCGATTTCATTGTTTAAAATAAAATAAGAACACAACCAATTTTTTTACTCGTGGAGGTGATCGAAAACACAGTTCAATCTTCCCCTTGCACTGGGATGTCTGACCAATTGTGCGAAAGTACTGTATACTACTGTAGTATTTTTCTTCTGAACAAATGATCGAGGTTGTAACTCATTAAAAAACATTGATAAAGGCTTTTCCGGCCAGCATTCTTCTTGGATTTCCAGTTCTTAGAGTACATTTGACTTTTCTTTTTTTAACCCCTAATACTGTACCTGTTTTTTTCTCACGCTAACTTTTGGAAATTGTACTTCCGGAGTATTTACAATTCGTAAATTCTATCTAATATTTTATTTCTTTTTCTGAAGTGAAACAGTGCTCATAATACTGCTGATGTAGAATCTCGTTCCAACAAAGCATTTGAGACCTTGAAAAAGGTTCGTTATAACCAAAAATTACTTAAAACGAGATTAACATCAATATTGCAGCTATTAGGACAGGCACCACAAAAAAAACAAATTCGTTGTAAGCAATAATTATTTATAATGAAATTCCATTCACTTTAGTTAGATTTGTGCATACTTCTTGAAAATTTTAATTTGGGATTATGAGGATCACAATTATGTAGCAATTGCAGTGCGTGCTCGTATTTTGTTAATCGTTACGTATCTGTTTAATTGCAAAAAAGACAGCGTAATGCTGTGGGAGTAATTAGGACGATTTAAAAATAATAATTTCGTGAGAATTCCAATTTGAAAGAAATTAATTATAAGAACGACACGGCATACAAGCAAAGATGACGGATGAAATGTTCGTTATCTCCGAACTCTCATTAAATTCATTTTAAAGCTCGAAGTGTTGTCTGTTGTCAGAGAATCTCACAGAAAATGGAATCACTCACCGCATTGCGTGTAGATATTTGTTGCTTGGTGCTCTCGTCAGAACGTTTTGCCATTTTCCTGACATCACACCTTTGATTGACAAAAAAATACCTGGCGCTTGTTTCTGAAACTTGCACCTCTTCTATTTCTGGATCTTGTTCATCAGCAACTGCGAGTAATCGTCGGCCTCCCATTCTTGCTGTCGAACGCAAAATATTGGTTACCAGAGCCGAAATGAGTAATCAATCATCGCAGGTCAATTTGATCAATCGGGTCTCAAAAATTTGATTCGATGAGGCTAGAGAAAGCTGTTCTATATTCCTTCAAATTATAATTCAAGTTGATTCACTGCCCCCCGATCGACTGTTTATAGTACTGTACATGTTAGGATGCCCTTTGATTACCAAAGGATTTTAAAATTATTTCAGGTGGTTCCTAAATCTTCGAGGACAATTCAGTGCAGTTCTTAATTTAACGTGTACGACGCTTGGATTATATGGCAAAACGACCAACCATTAGCCCTGATAAGCGTAGCTGTATTATGTGTGTTTTGTTTGTATAATCGGTCAAATTTCGACTGCAAAAACAAGATTAATTTTTATGAAGTTTTTATTTCTTTCGCGAAACACTTCCAACGCGTCCTAAGCGTGAAATATCGTAAAAGGTGTAAGACCAGCAAAAATAAGAAAGTTTTTAAGCGGAAAATCTCGGAACGCATGGGGTTACACCCTTTTAGCTGATTCCAAATGACTTTCAGATTGATTTTGTTTTGAGAATTGCATCGATGTGACCACCATCTCTTTAAAAAAAATTGCATTCGACAGAAAAGTTGTTTAAAACTTGTTTGCCGTGTTATTATTTTTGTCAGTATTTTGAATTCCGAAAATGCAATTCTTGTTGTAAAATAACTTTTAATGCTGGGACATTTTTACGAGGTGCCCTCCATCTTATTTAAAAACATCTTGCGTTCAATTTATCTATTCCAAGATAATCCATATACTGTATATATTCCATGCAACTGTGAGATACGGAGAAAAAGGTTGTGAACTGATTTTCGAAAGGGAAATTAACTTTTTCTGGGAAAATTGGCCGACCTTGTCATCATCGCTGAGAAAGATACAAATATCTGCGATTCTGAAACGGTGCATAAAATGATGAAAAACTGAGAATGTTGTGTACTTTTCATTCGAGGGCAGTTTTTGTTCTGTTCTTTAATCGAAAATAACCGTTGTGGTGACCAAATCAATGCAGGTACAGACGTTGATTTCAATTGTTGAAAATGCGGATGATCGAATTTTGATATTGCATTTTTTTTATCTTCCACATTTTCAGGATACATTATTGTTCAAGAAATGGTCTAATTTTGTTGAGTCCACCGTGTAGCATGTTTGTATGGACTTCGAAAATGTCTCGGGACGGATACGAAAGAGGTTATTTCCTGTTCAGACGATTTTTTAGCCCAATTTGAATGGAAAAATTGTTGTTAGTTTTTGTTGTGCTCGTATATGGGAACCAGTTCCTGCTCCTCTTAAAAATACACCGTTGCCAAAAATATGCTCGGAAATCGTTACCATTCTAGGTTCGATGCAGCGAGGATTTTGTGTGCTGATTTTTTTATAGTTTTGGTCATGTTTCACTGGAATTCTCCAATAGTTCCTGAGTTTTTCTGTGTCGTGTTAAGTTAATTCTTGAATTAAGTGAGTGCATTTTTTCTGTCTCGTTGATTCTGTGTGACTTGAATGACGCCCTTCGGATCCAAAAATTCCGTTGAGTCCGAAAAACGAAAGTTCGCAATATTATGATGCGATTACAATTGTAACTTACAGGATTGACTGAAGACCTTGAGCATAAAAAATTAAATTTACATTAAAAAATTGTTGAAGTACTGTATATTTGTTGCATATTTTCAAGAATAGTTTTTGGACACAAATGCATAAACGGCATTATGCTTCACATTTAAATTGCTTTCTTCCGCAAATATCCAGAGGAAGTATTCGTGCAATAAATTCATTTTGAAAGAAATATATTTGCAGAAATTTACTTTTTGTCCCTTATTTACATTTACCGTGTACGCTTCTATGGTCAAGACGACTGTCATTAAAAAATTACCTCTCGAAAAAGAGCTGCATACGTTTTTAGTCATTTTCATTCAAAGTGCAATACACTATTGTAAAAATTGCGAGTGCTAAAAACTTTTATTTTTTTTTCTTGAAACAATTTGAGCTCTGCGAGCTTTGAAATGACGTATGATTTATTATTGGATGCTGAAGGTATGATTTGATTGCTGCATAAATACGCAGTCAATATCATCCAAACTTCGATGAAATTTCGTAAAAATTATGATTATTGGAAATTATGATCCTTTTCTTGGAAGAAAGTTGAGCTCTGCGGGCTTCGAAAATGGCGGAAGAACTAATATTTGAATGCTGAAGGTATATGAAAACTGCACGTAGTACAATACTTGATCAGTGACAGTCAAACATCCATACGATGTCGTAAAAAGTATGATTATGAGTATGAGTTATGATTTTTCCTTTGAAAAAAAAAAAGTTGAGCTCTGTGGGCTTTGAAATATGGCGTATGATTTATTTATTCGAATGCTGAAGATGTGTTACGTCTATTTCCGCCCAATCAAAAAAAAAAAAAATTGCGAGACGTTAATTTACCTGCGTGAAACGGTATTAGAGTGAGGATCATCACAATAATTGCGGAACGGACGAGATGAGGTGAACACATGTCGCCTCCAATGCCATTCCTTATTCGCATGCCGAATCGCGTCCACCGTCAATCGTCGGGTCACTCCACAGTCCAAGCACACCACTTCACTTCACCCGATCACTCCCAACATAAATTCTCGCTCGCACGTCCCTAGGTCGGTACACGTGTTTTTTTTTTCTTCTGTTGTTGTTTGGCGGTACTTATTTTTTCGCGGTTCCCTCGCAAACACTTTGAATGTCGCCTGGGTCGAATTCGTCCTGGAAATTCGTAATCACACGGTTCTGGGCCGCGCGTGCCCCAAGCCAAAGCGCGATTGACTCGATCGTGCCTTCACGAACGCGGTCAATGCTTTCTGTTGTGTAGAAACATGGGAAATGAGGAGATGGGGTTAGGGGAGAAACAATTGTGAGTTGTTTGTTTTTTTATTTCATATTTTGTGTGGACCTGCGTTACGAACGAATGATGAGTGATCGCACGCATGGTGCATGCATGCCATACATTCATGACTCGGTTAATGGATTATCAATTTCAGTGCTGTTGGCAAGCCTGTTGTGGAGAAAATGCTCGAAAGGAAAACCTAGCTATCGTTTTTCTTATATGCTCTGCGAATCAGAGGCAAGGAAAGTAAAACCTAAAGAAGTTTCTAAGATTTTTTTGTTACACACGAAGTACTGTGCATTTCGAGAAGCACCTACTCACTATTTTTTTTTCCTGCTCATGTTCTATAATTTATTGATTGATGTTTTTGGATTTGTGCACACTTTGTTTTTATTCACTGTTGTGTGTTTTTTTTGTTCCTTCTGTGGATCATTTCTTTGACATTTAATAAATCATTTGGTAAAACTGGGAATGTGTATTCACAGTGGCCTCTTGAATTAATGTTCCTGGCTGCTAATTAGCTGATTGCCAAAGTTGTGTGCCTTTGTCCTCCGTTATTTTTTTGGGTTCTGCTTATACTTAACAATGCCTACTATCCAAAAAATTAGGTATTAAACGATTTTAGAAGGGCTGATCTGCTCCGGAGTTCTTGACAATATCTTTTCCAGTTCATTTGTAAATGATTAAATTTTCAAATTTAAAATGGTTGCAGAAACATTAAAAAACAAGGAAAATTATAGTACAGTATAATGATCCAAACACCCATATTTACCTTTGTAATTTTTTGTCACTTTCTATGCAAACTATTCTCAAAATCAGGAGTGGAATTTAAAGGATTAATTTGATTCTGCCAAGTTTCGCGAACATCTCATCCAAACAATCCTGTATGGAGTGTAAGAAGAAAAAATTCAGAGGCTCTTGAACTTTTTTCGTGAAGCCCTTTTTTTGTTTGTTTGGAATTATTCCGGATATGGCAGAACACCTCCCGAACTTTTTTAACGTCTTGAACATGAGTTATGAACTTGACATATTTTTAAGAACGTCAGTACTGTATTAAAAATGGGATATCATTCGCAAATGTCCAAAAATGTAACGTGCAATCGTAAATTCAGCAGAAATGGTCATTCATCGCATCTGGAACCGGAGAGTTTTCATATTTTTGTCACGGTTTCTTAGAAGTTCTTCTCCATTGTTTCTGACCTAGGTTGGGTTCAAAGCACTTGAAAATGATCCCGGAAATTGTCAGATACTCCCGGAAAAAGATAAAAGAAAAACATGAAACCTAGAATCCGAATCAAACGCTGTACCTTGACGAACGTGTGCTGATAAATCTTTCTTCTGTTCGAAAATCTGTGTTTTCACGGTCTCTTAAAAGGCCCGACCACAACAAGAGAAGGAATTGCACCATTTAATAATTTCTTTGGTGGGCGGGTTAGGTTATTTGATACATTTCAAAGCGAACCCTGTGTTTTTTAGATTCAAGTTTCAAATATTAATCTTAGTTTAAAATTGTTGTCACGGTCTCTTGAAAGGCCCGGGTCACGAAAAAAATAAAATAAATAAGAATCGCACCATTGAACAGTATATCTTGGGCGGGCGGATTAGAAAATATTATTTGGTCTATTTAAAACCGAGCCCTGTGTTTCTTTTTATTCAAACGTGCGTTTCAAAACTTAATCTGAGCGATGTTCTCAGCAAAAAAAAAAAAAAAGGTTTTTGAGACGAAAGCGCTCGATGAGGACGAGGACTAATGGAAGTACGGGTCTTGGCTTTCGGACGTCGTCGTCGCCATTGACGCTCTTATTTGCAGGGCACGTTTCGGGCGCCCCCACAAACACGCGAAACCGCGCGGATAATCGCAATTGCCGCTGGTCTCAAGCACACCTAACACTCTCTGTTCCCGATTTCTCAAACGCCGTGGAAAAGTTTTTTTTTTTCTCTCTCTCCTTCATTCATTCTCCAAATTTCTCAAATTTATGTTTTCTCTTCACTCTCATTTTCCCCCACATTTTCTTTGCTCTGCGGGTTTTTTGATAAGGAAACAATTGATAAATGATTTCGACAGTGTCTCGGTCTCACGAGAACGAAGTCTGAGGTTAAATTCGAGAGCGGTTATAGTTTTTTTTCTTGTGTTTGCCATGGAAAATTCGCTGTTGGAAGGTGGAGTGGATGTCGGGGAATATTTTCGCGGTACAAACTTGTCGCGTGAGTGCTTTTGTTTAATTGTATCTCAACAACTAACACGAATGTATGAAAAACAAGGTACGAGATTTTTTTTCAGTTGGACGCGGCCTCTGATATTTTTAGAGTCTTTGTGATTGTAAAAATAAATAAAAATAAAGTCATGACATAACCAATGATGTTCTAAGGTCCTGGAATTTTTTCGGATTAAAACTTTTTTTTTCTGTTTACTGCGTGATGATAATTGAAAATTTTCCAGTTTCGTGCGGAGTTATCCTCCCATGGATTTTGAAAATATGTACGGCGAGCTAAAAAAAAAGTGAATTTTTTGTTCTTCTAATCTGAGACGTAGAAAAAATGATGTTTAAACAGCAACAAAATTTCCTATTTTAGCTGACCTTGTGACTCGGGTGGAGAACTTTGACTGTAACAGGAAAATGTTCTCTTCTCACATTAAAGTCTTCATACATTAAATCGTAAAACTGTTTTTAAAAAAAGGTTTAAAAATCTCACAGCCTTAGAAGATTATGGCATATGTTACGAATTGTTTTCACAATCACAACTACTCTAGAACTATCAGGGGCCGCGTCCAACAAGGACAACCCTCGTATATTTCAATAAATAAGTTATTCTGAATGTGGATGTGGAATGAGTAAACCCCTTCATTCAAGTGTCATGAAGCTTGTACATATAATTGTGTCATGAAGCAGTACATATAATTGGAATTTTTTGTTTTATTGTGTTGAATATTTTTAAATGCTAGACATGTGATGACTTGAATCCGTGATCTCATGCTCAACACGTTTTTTTTTTTTTTTTTTTTTTTTTTTTTTTATTATTTTTTTTTTTTGTTTTTTTTTTTTGTTTTTTTTTTTTTTTTTTTTTTTTTTTACATGCTGTGAGAAAATGGTGGTCCTCAGCAACTGCAGAATCATTTATTGCACTTCATTTGCATTCTGGAATTTTGAAACAATTCGTGAACATTTTTATTTACTAATTTTTTATACTTTTGATGATATTCAAGAAAAAAAGCCGGCAGCAATATGAATAAATTCCAATTCCTAGATCTCATTGAAGTTAATATACGAGTGCAGTAATGTTGTCTCGTGTTCTGGAGGAAATAATTTTGTCTTATGACCAAAGACATGGATTTTTGAAGAATTTCCGGGAAATTTTTGGAACCCTGAAAGTTCTTCAACACCCGTTGATGGATCTGAAACCATAGAAAAATTCAACAAATACGGAACCAATTCGTGGGGTTGAATGTCTGAAGATAATACAAGCATACCTTCGGTAGTGTCATCGTTTTATAAGCTTGTTGAATCACTTTCACTTGCCGTGGAATGGGATCAAGTTGAACTTCACTTGGAAATACTGTATATCGGCAAACGTCAGAAAAGCGCATTTTCTTCAATTATGCTTTAGATCTGCCAATTTTATTTTTAAAATGTCTCCTCGACAGCCACAGTTTTAGCACGTGCTGGTGAACACTAGCAGGAATTTCGATTTGCCAGCTGAGCAAATCTCGGCCTGATGGAAAGTACCGTTTCTTTCTAAGTGCTTGTGCAAAATGAGCTTCTGATTCACTAAACGAGAACTTCTCGCCGTTTGCTTCGGTCAACACTTAATATTCGAGAGCACACAATTGTTAATTAACTGAGTATTTATTTCTTGGTAGGTAAACTTGCTGGATGTTTAATTTATGCACACACACACGCACAATTCCAAAAATGAGTCAAATTGATGAATCGCTACTCGCGTAACTGTGTAACCGACCAAAAAGGAAGTTGGACGAGATCTTTAGCTAAAAATTTGGATGATCGCGGGAAAAAAGTGTTCAGTTCACCCATCCCTTCTTTTTTCCCGCGTTTTTTTTCTCCCGAAATTTGCACAGTGGAGCAAACAAACCCTTGACCGGCACTTCGCGTCTCGTCACCTGCTGTCGACTCAGTTTCTGGACGCACTGACATGAGGAACAACCTTAAACGTTGTCCCAGGGCGTTGTCCGTTATATTTCGCCGATTCCGAAAGACTTCCTTTTTTTTCATGTTTGGGCTGACATTTTGAGACCCAGACCATGTTGGCATCTTGTTCCTCTCGTTTGATTGTTGAACTTGGAGTTGTGTCGCAGGCATTTGCGATCGGATGATTATGCAGGGTGATTAACGCGGAACTAATGAGCTTTTGATTATGAAAATTGTGTCATTGACTGTGTGGAAGATGAGGGGAAAAATCGAGTAAAATATCATCTGTATTAAGAAGGTGCTGAGACCGGGAAGAAAGATTTGTTGTTCCGATAAATTTTTCATCAAGGGATTTGAATAACATTATTCTTGCTATTGGGAAGAGCTCTGAAAAATGAATTCGTTGTAGCCAATCGTTTACTTTAACAAGATCCTTTTAATAAGATTATACTGTACTTGAAATGAAAAGGTAAATTTCTCAAGCCATTTCAGGGCGAATCCTAATTTAACTCATTTGTCAATAATCTACAGTATTAGAAAAAATGAAAACGAGGATCGATTCTCTGAGAATTTTTAAAATTCTTCTTTCAAGTTTCCGCATGTAGATTTTAGACAGACGATAATCGCTGACCTAAAAATTCGGTAGTTTGTTTGTGGTTATGATTCCAAAATTATACGTTTCATTCTTTCACATTGTTCCATCTTATTTTGGCACAAATAACTTCGTGTCGAAAATTGTGTCATTGACTGAATGGAAGATACGAAAAAAAAATACAGTATAGTCTCATTATGAGGAAGGTGTTTTGACCGGGAAAAAAACGTTTTGTTGCACTGTAACATCAAATTAGTTATCAATTTATTTAAATAACATTGTTGCTATTGGGAAGGGACCTGAAAAATGAATTCGGTTACCAACGATTCGTTATAACAAAATTCCTTGTAATGAGATTCTACTGTACTTCAGATTAAAGGGTTAATTTATCAAGTCATTTCAAAGCAAATTCCGGTCTAATTCATTAGTCAATGATCTAGCAGAAAAGAATCAAAACGAGGATCGATTTTTTGAGGGTTAAAAAAACTTTCTTTTTTAATTTTTTTTTAAATTATTTGACGCACGAAAATTGCTGACCTAAAAACGTCGATAATTTGTTTACAGGGGATGCTGCCAAAAGAATACTTTTGAGTGTTTTACATTCTTCCATCTCATTTTGACACGACTATCTTAAACCCCTTGAAATAGTTGATTCTTTTGTTGCATTACTTTTTAGCCCACGAATCATCTTGTAAGTGACCCTTGAATCCTAGTGATCTTTTACAATTTCCATAAATAGTACAATACACTGATTTTCGTCATGCTTTTATTTTCTCAGACATATTTGTACGTGTATTTCGAGAATGCCGGGCATCGAAAGTGATGTGCCATTCGAGGTGCTGTGTCAGCTGTTTTCTGACCTCGAGAAGAAAGTTGGACGAGGAAGAAAACGGGATGAAGCGAATATTGCTGAGCGGAAGTTGGAGCGATTTTTCCTTGAAATGCGAAAAAAACTGAAAATTAATTCTCCGGTTGCGGATATTCAGCAGGTGAAATCCGGAATTGTGTCGTTTTAGAAAACATTCCAAATAATATGTGGCTAAATGTGCCGATTATTTATATTCAGGAACCACCGTCCTTGTATGGATTTTTGCGGTTGCTTCTCCCTAAAGTGGATAATCAACGTGGTGCTTACGGATTGAAAGAAAGAAAAATTGGGGAGATTATTATCAACGTTCTGAACATCAGCAAAACCTCTGCTGACGCCGTCAACTTGGTACATTATAGGTAAAAAATGCAGTCCTACGTCTAATCCACTTACAAATCATTACCAACGCTTTTTTCTTCTCTTTAAAACAAATAAATTTCCAGCATTCCAACCACAGCTTCAGCTCGTGGAGATTTTGCAGCAGTAGCCTGCGAGTTTTTGCGCAATCGTTGTCCAGAAAAATCGAACCCGTCAATTACTGTGCAAACTGTGAATGATTGGCTCAGTGGTATTGCGAAGGCCAATGGAGAGAACGATCCAGGTTTAAATGATTGAAATGATGAAATTACGAGAGCGAACAATTTTAACGAGGCGGCATTTTCTGTTTCAGATGGTCAAAGAAGAATCCTGAAAGAATGCTTGCGTTCGTTGACAGCTGTTCAATTCAAATGGCTGATTCGCATCATGGTGAAGGACATGAAATTGAAGCTCGGAGAAAAGCGAATTTTCAATTGCTTCCATCCTGATGCGAAGGATTTCTTTGATTCGAATGGAAACCTTGAAAAAGTTTGACCGGTTTTCCATTTTTAAATTTTTTTATTATTGCCAACAGCGTGAAGTGTGTCCAAGAACAACGAGTCACCAAAAAAATGCCAGGGAAACACATTTAAGCATTTTAAGAGCTCCAGAAATTATCCAATGTTGAAAGTTTTTGCCATTTTTATTCCTGAAAATATATTTTACGAGGGCAGGTTTGAAGGGATTTGAAAAGGCACGATTTTCGGGGCCTGCGGATTTGTTTTGCACCGGTCTGTTTTATTTTTCTTTTTTTTGGACGTTTCGTTTCGTTTTAGGACGCATTCAAATGTTGATTGATTGTACTTGAATCGTCCAAACCTTTCCATCTGACGATATTTACTGTAACTAGGTTGCTGTGAGCCTTCAGGACCCTGGTAAACGTCTTGGAGAGATCGACGTGACGCTTTTCACGCCATTTCGTCCAATGCTGGCTTATGCAACTGCTCCCCATGTGTTGAAGAAGGACATTGACAAATCTCCGTCAGTGATGGTTGAGATCAAGTGGGATGGAGAACGTTGCCAGATGCACAAAGATGGCGAAAAATACAAGTACTTTTCTCGGAATATGTTCGAGTACACGCGGGAGTTTGGCGGGGATCCGAGCAGTGGTTCCCTGACTCAATTTATTCACAAATCTTTCAAACCCGACGTTAAGACGTGCATTTTGGATGGCGAAATGGTCGCGTGGCACAAAACGTATCACTCTATCTCTCAAAAAGGTGCGAGCAAGAAAAAATTCAGTTATTTTTTTTTTTAACTTTTCTCTGTTCTTTGAAATTAATTCATTTGTGTACTCAAAATTTTTATGAATAATTCTCTAAGCCTCGTTGGGATCAACAAAAGCGAAGCTTGAAGCAAATCTCTGCTCATTCGATGCAATTTTTTTTTTACTTTGAGCAACCCTAAAAATATAGCATCTCTCATTATGCAAAAACATTTTGCGATGATAAAACAATTTTCAACAGAACAGGGCTGTCAAATGTGGAATACTGTCAGGTAGAAGAAAATATGAATTATTCCGCTTTATGAAAACTGTAATGCAGTAAAATCTCGTTCCAACAAATACCGATATTACAAGTTTTTCATTATTACGAATTTTTTGTCAAGTCCCCAAAAGTTTTTTTTTTACGAGATTTTACTTTATATCTTAACATATTCAGATCATCTAATTACCTCATTTCATCCACACAAAAAAGACCGACGTGACTCCTGAGCCAATCCTTTCGTGAAGTAGCTGAAATTGAGTTTCTTGATTTTATAGGAGAAAATTTGGATGTGAAGAAACTGAAACCGTACGGAGACCACCAACCCTGCTTCATCGTTTTTGACGTTTTGATGTTAAATGGCAGACCTTTGGCCAAAGAAACTTTGCGAGAAAGATACAAAATTCTGTTTAATGATGTTTTTCTGGAGAACCCCGGTCACCTGCAACTGAGTCAACACAAGGAAGTTTCATCCAAGTGAGATTTTAGTGATTTTTAATAATAACGAAGTTATCTAAGCAATTTTAAATTTCTGTTTTCAGAGAAGAAATAATGGAAGAGGTCAATTATGCGATTGATAATAACGAAGAAGGCATTGTCATAAAACGACCGGATTCTAAATACATTCCTGCTGCGCGCATAAAAAGTTGGTTGAAGCTCAAACCCGAAGTAAGTATTTTATGTAGTGTCTAATTTTATTCATTGGGACTGCAAAATAATTTTCATTTATTGTAAATCAGTATATAGGATCGATAATGGATGAGCTGGACTTGCTGATCGTCGGTGGCTATTGGGGAAAGAATAGTCATCATGGATTTATTTCGCAGTATCTTCTCGCTGTTGCCATTCCTCCTTCAAAAATAGGTCAGACTCAAGCAGTGAATCATTGTACAGTACTCCTATAAAAATCTAAATTTTATTTTTTTTTAGGTGACAAGCCAAAAGAATTTTACACCGTCGGGCGAGTTTCATCTGGGTTGAAGGATGATGCGCGGAAAGAATTGAGCAAAAAACTCGCTTCAATTGCCCATAAATTGACCGAGGATGCGAGAGGCATTGCAGGGATTGTTTGGACTCGAGAAAAGCCAGATGTTTGGTTCGAACCGGAGAAATCTTTGATTGTGCAAGTGAAAGCCACAGAAATCGTCAGATCCGATACTTACAAAGTCGGGTTCACCTTGAGGTTCCCCAGGATAACGAAATTACGAGACGACAAGGGTTGGTTCGATTGTATGACGCTGGAAGAGTTTCATAACTTGCGACGAGTGAGTAAAACACATTTTTCTTGAATCGGGCAAAAGTTGTTTTCAAAAATCCTGCAAGTCACCAGCAGCTGGTGAAAACCTTGTGGCCGATCTAAAAATCAAAATCATTGAAAACGAATGAAGCTGAGATGATGAAGAATGATCTGAACGGCCTTCAGCGTCGACCCATTGAAAGAACTTTGAAAAGATATGCATGTTGATTTGTAATAATATTTTAATTCTTGGCATTTTTCCGACCTAATGGTGATATGCTGCACTTTTTTGAGGATTCTCCGCTGTTTTCTTTGACAGCTGCACATTTTCCGCCAAAGTTTCCTTATTTTATAATCTTTGCTGAGAAAATCACCGACAAAGCATCCAAAATTTTCAAATTCGCTCGAGCAGCAATCTTGAAATGAAATGCAAGTCTTTGTCCCTGGGAATTCTTTATCATCATTTTTTTTGACTGTAAATTTTTCACGAGGAACCAATGTACTTATTAATTTGATTTTCATTCTGAGCGTATGGGATAGTTGAGTGCAATACTTCAGTACAGTATTTAAATCTCTATAGAGTTTTGAGAACCCTTTTCTTGTCTCGTCGTCCGATTATACAGTAATATGTTTTCTTTCGATGTGTAGGGAAATTCTGGGAAGCTTGTTGCAACTCAAGCTCTTGCATTCGGTGACTCGGAAGAAGGTTCTTCCGGCGAAGATGCTGAAATTACCCCGGGTTCTCCTAAAAAACGGAAACGAACTGCTGCTACGCAACCCCGTGTATTCACTCAAGCCGCGTCGCAACTTGCGAGTCAATTTAAGCCTGCTGACGTATCTTCGATCCCACAGGTGAAAAAATAATAATAACAGGGGTCGACTGAATGTGTCGGGAGAAAGACATTAATGACCAATTTTTTTTTTACTGAATTTAATTTTTGGCTATTTTTTGAATCGGATTTATTGTTTGTTTTTTTAGAGCTTGAGTAGGAAATATTTTCACATTTCAAATCATCTCTGTACCGAGGAATCTCGTTAAAATGAGTTTTCACTGACCCTGCATTCTCCAGGTCTCGGTAGTGTCGCCAAAATGTTTCATGCGTCTCCATGTTGTTTAGGAAATTTTTCAATGTAACGCAGTTTTTCAGGTTCCGACGTCTTGAGTTTGACGAAATTCTTTAGCGGATCATGAATGGGCTTATATCTGTGAAAAGTATCATTTTAACTGCTCTTTGTAAAATTTTATCGATTATTTATAGTGTGCATAAAGAGCGTTATTTATGTGAAGAGAGTTTCCTCAGCATACTGTACGATACAGCAATTACTTGAAAAACCATGAATATACCAGCTGAGAGCGAAAGAAGTCTCAAAATCTACAAATTTTCAGTGCAGTAATATATTTTGTCGAGTGATTTCAGCTTGATGCTTTTTATCATGTTTGCTGTTCGTGCATTTTTATGAGCTTGTATGTGTATCACCTAAATTATTGTAGTGTTAATCTTCATTACTTTCCATGCAGTCCTCGGAAATTTTCTCCGGAAAAGAGTTCTATATCATCAGTGGAACGAAAGAAGTCCCGAAGGATGTTCTGGAGAAGGAAGTGCATCGTTTCGGAGGAACCTTTACTCAAAACGGGAGTGAGTCTTTTTTAAGGTCTTTCCATTTGATGAAGAAATCCCAAAATGTTTTTTTATACCTAATCAGCGTAATTTAATTTGGATTGATCTTCGCTCCAGTTTTTGAAAGTCAAATTTCCAGACTGGAAAATCGTGGATAATTTTTCTTTTGAAGCCGCTGGAAAGACGTACTGCGTGATTGCCAGAGATTCCGAAAGCCCGAAAGTGAAAAATCTTGCACGTTCCCGAAATTATGACATACTGAAGCCGTCTTGGCTGCTGAGATGCTTGGAAGATGGTCGGATTTACAACTGGAGGCCAATGGACATTATTGCCTGCACTTTGGAAACCGAGTTGGCCATGAAAGACAATTTTGATCGATACGGTGATTCATTTTCCGAGGTGAGGATGAATCGAGTTTTAAATTATTCTGTGTTGAAAAGATTTTCATTTTGCACATACGTATATTGTATTTGCATTACGGACGCTTTTTGAGGTTCTTGTTTGTGGAGAAATTCTTGTTGCGATTTGAAATAAAATATATCGGGCGTAAATTTCTTCGGTAAAATTTCCGAATTGTTTTCATCTATGAACTGTTGCAACTGCTAGAAGGTTATCAGCCATTTTTCTCCAGTTGCTTTTATAGTCACCATAGTTTCATCAGTAGCTGTCTTTTATTTTGCCAGCCATTATTTGAGAAATTTGAAATAATTTGTGACGAAGAATTGTCGAAACTATCATTCATCAGAAGTTTAAAGTTTTCTTCCTGAACATTTATCATAATTTTTTTCTGTATTTTGAGACCACACACTCACGTACTCTTTGGCGACACTTGACGGCTTCCAAAATTTGCAGACTCTGAGCAAATCGTTTCTAAATTATTTGCAGGGCTTTTTAGAGATGTGACCTTTGTGAGGGATTTGGTTTAATCCTGAGGCATTGCATAATTCTGAATTGCTCTGTTATCCATTTTTTTCTTGTAATTTTTATTTTTTTGCATGCCAGGCTGCGACTTTGGAATCGCTTGAGTATTCCCTTGAAAGAGTTAAGGCCCTGGATGAGGAGAAGCTACATAGGATAAAACCATGGGATGAGTTGGAAAATTATTCAAGAATTTCCTTCGGTTTAAGCACTTGGAACCTGAAGCTTTTTCGAAATTGTGGCATTGAACCTCATTTCCTGTGGAGTTCCGCTTTGCCGAGCTACTCGAAGTTTCACAGGTTAGCCATTCGACATTGAAACCTTCAACGTAAATTATTGCAGAAAGAAGTGATGTACTGCATTTTGCGGAGTATATTAATACTTTGAACGTTTGCATAACTTGGCTTCAACTTTTCAGACTGAAAAGCCAGTACAAATACTTCGGAGGAGAAAGTACGACCTTGAAGGCCGCCACGCATCTGATTGTGGATGTTCATCATGCTTCAAGTGGTATTGCTGCAAAGAAAGCCTTGGCGGAGAAAAGAACCGGTTTAAATTTTGTCGGCATCCTTCACGTTGATTGGATCGAAAATTCGATCAGCGCAATGCGAATATTGCCGCTTACCGCATTTGAATGCGAATTGCATGGAGATTTTATGAAGTTGAAGTATACTTCAGAAGCCGTTTTCTTGGAGTAGACAAACTTTTCTGGCGTGCAAAATTTTCTGGGTGCTGTTTGATCCACACGACACATTAATTTTGAAGTCACCGGTATGTTTCAAATTTTTCACGCTTCGTCGTCTTATGAGAAAATTGAAAATGTTTTCTTGAAAATTGGTCTTCTTCATTTCAGAACGCTCGTGCGATAAAAATGGCGACATTTTCGGATTAAAAAAAAAACTTGACCCCAAAGATTGCGACTACGCAGAGGTGAAAACGTGGCCCCGCAACCCCTGTAACAATTCAAAAAACATTGGTTCCGAGCAGGTTTTGACGCTTTTTTATTGATTCAAGTCAATTTATTGTATTTATTGATAAGATGATCGATTAATCAGCGTACATTTTTTGGAAGTTCGGTAGTATTTATTTGATTTCTTGACATAGTTTTAAATAACGAAAAAACATAATTCAAGCAGTTCACTCTGAGAAGGCAAGGTTAGCGTTACACTTTTTTTTAATGAATTCACAGGCAATGGTTGAAAAATATGGGAATTCCACAGATTTTATGATCCTGTTCAAACGAAAAATTTTCATTTTTCTGTGAGCAATGCTAAATGTGTGATCCGCGAAATTTTCGGTTTGGGTACGATTGAGTTAATTCTTCAAGTTTTAATTTTTATACTAATGGGTTGGAAGATTCTGGGAATAGGATATTTGGGCACCCGAATGAATTTTTCTGAGTGGAGTTACTGTCAAAACTTGTAAAGCGTCTCTCTTGAACTCTGCTGTTAGTGATAAAAAAATGCAATGTTCCAACTAACAGCTGTTGCGGAAATTTTCTCAAAATTCTGCACGTATTCCAAACTTACAAGTATGTAAAGCCTCTGGACTGGTTAAATTTTGTTGAAACAATTTTGGCTCAACTCTCAACGCTCGGAATGATCTGCGTTTATACTCAAATGCTTCCATCACAAATCGGCTGGAAAATGAGCCGACGAACTTTTGGAGAATCTTGCTCAATTCCTCTGGAATTCAGCGGATATTTTCAGACCGAGATTTTATTCACGGTCTGTTCCGCATCAGGTAATGTATTGTTCTTGCTGGCTACCAACTGCTTCGCCATCCGATGAAGATCGTCTATTTCCTCCATGATGTAGGATTGTATCTGCTTCATCTCTTCCGCGCTTGAAAAGGCCGACTTCCTGCCCGTGACAGTGATGGCCATGTCCCCGTTATAGCTGGTGACCACTACGCCCAGATCTGGAAACAAAATTACCGCGATAAAAGTGAATCTGGGTGTATAATCTCCGATTTTCTCATGTGTGCTGAATCCAAGGATATTTTAGATTTTTTTAACGGAATGAAACCTTTGTGCCCAGCAAATACCGCACAGTGGGACCCAGACGCTCGAAAAATGGATGATTTGACAAAGGGACACTTGAAGCGCAAAAAATCGGGAAATTATCTCGAGATATATAGGGACGCCTGTCCAACATTTCTAGAAAATATAAACATTTTATTTTTAAAAATGTGGATATATCTTGTACAAATTGAGCTATAGTATCATCATATTCACAAGAATTAAAATTTAAATTCACTCAAAGATTGAAGTCATAATCTAAAAGAGGCTAATTTGTTGCTTCTTTTGGGGCTTTTTCCATGATCTGTGCACAGCACATCAAGACTTGTTTTTTTGCTGCTGGTCAATTGTGTTTCGGTGTAAAACTCGATGAGAGCTTTAAAATAAAATTTAAAAAAGTTTAAGTGGTTGAAATGCCTCACAAAGTTCTTGATATTATTTGACTTGGAAGTAAACTTTCAGGCATTTTTTTCAAAAAGAAGAGGAACCCGAAATACAAACTTGCAGGGTGTTAGCTTCAAAATGTTTTATATATACCTCTGAACAAGGTGTAAGTATTCTTTGCCAGAATTATGTTATCTAAAATACTGATTTGAGGAATGCAGTGATTATTCTTTGAACTCAATGAACAGCAGTATTCCTGAGACGTATATATTTATGTTATTATGTACATATATACGAAACGCTCCCCTCACAATGAAATCTGATCCCGAATCACGGGATTTATTTTGTTCTCCAGCGATGTTTACAAAATGTAAACATCGGCCAAGATCTTGAATCACAGGAAAAGCCATTCTGTGCACCACTATACTCGTATATAGAAGAATAAATAGAGGGAATTATTTTCGGATTCAAGGCCTATATGCAGGGACAGATGGGCCTGGCGCAAGATCAAGATCAAGTGCTGCTGTACACCATTGTTCTTCCATGAAGTCCAGCACTTACAGTTCGTTACTTGAATTATTCCGATGCACTTTTGTTCGAAAAGCTCTCCCTAACCTTGAAATAATACGGCATATAGGAAGTCACTTTGTATTGAAAACAAGCGTATAATATTTTTTGTTGTTTGAGGATTCGAAATCGTGGGATATTTACCCAAGAATTGGTTCGATTTGGACTAGCTCATCCTCTCAACTTGATTTACTGCATCAATGTAATTTTTATGTACTATACACTCGTGAAAATGGATGGCTTTGAAACCGCAATGAACAAATTATCCTATTACGATTTTCAGAAACCTGCAAAAATGACCACGGTTCGGTCTTCGATCGGAATTCCGTACAATAATACATATAACGTCATCAAATTTAAAACTCAGCTCTGTTATTTCAACTTCAAAAAAGCTCAACTGTGGATTTATATGCTGTAAAATTGTTCTATTTACATTTTATGCCTGCAAAATCTTCAATGATTGCACTCGTGAGTCATGAATCACTCATTTGCCCAATGTTTCGAACGCTTGGAAAGAAAATAAGATTTTTTAACGTTTGTGCCCTGAAAGTAAAAACTGTGACACTTTTTAAAAATTCGATTCTAGTAAATTCATCATCACTCCACTGATTCGTCTGAGTCAATTTACGCGAAAAAGCGCATCTTATGAGAGAGAAAACTGTTTTTACTTTTTGATTGAAAATCGCGGAAAATTTTTCACTGAATTGGAACAAAAAAAATGAAGACCGCGTCTTTGATGGGTATAAAATTTCATGTGACATTTTTTAATTGAAACTTTTCCCCGCGCCTTCAAAATTTTTTTCAGAGTTCTTTATTTTCATGATAATAAAAAATTGCCAATGAATTTGAGTTTTGAGTGGGCTTCAATTCAGATTTTTTATACCACGCAGTTCTGCAATTAGGAATTTTGGCAACTGACAACTAAGATGCACGTTTTATGAGGGGATAAGATGTTCCCCAATATTTAAGCAAAAAATCGGAAGTTTATGTCTTATACTCAAGAGCGTGCGGTACTTTAGTAAATCCTGTTCAATACATAAAAGGAACGTATTTAACTTGCAACAGCGAGGAAGGATTTCGCCGAAAACGGAAGAGAATGCCAATAAAATCGGGGACATGATGAGGCCAGAGCACAAAAAATATATACAGTATATATTGATGACAATAGATGCCATGATTTACCCCAGGTCTTGATGAGCGGCAGGAAGCCCGTGATGAGCGTGACCGGATGTCCGAACACAGTGTATCCGGCTTCCGCGCAGCGCACGTTGCTCAGCCCCAGGGTAGGGTGCGTGAAACTGCGTCTTGCCAGGGGCACTGTCACCCACTTGGGCACCGTGTTGATCCCTAACCGCAAAAATGTGTACCCTGACCAAATCGCGTCCGCAACGAACACTCGGGCCATTTGCTCCTTCACAATCTGCAAAACATGAACACGCATTTATTCCCGAGTTTATGCGCTTTCCTTTTTATTTGTTTATTTTCGGAATAATTAAGAAAGGAGTCTGCTGCAATCAGACCAATACACTATCCTACAGTTATCGATAAGAATAAGTCATATTTACGTTGCTTTTTCAGTGTTCAATGCATACGATTTGAAACAAAGAATTGACTTGGAGCAACCCTAAATTAATTCGCTGAGGATTTTCTCTCTCGCTGGTTGATTTTTATTTCAGTACATTATAGCCTTTTTTAACTCAGTAACACTAAAAAAATTTACGAGATCAGATAAGCTTAATATTCATTTATTGGAAAACGAATGTCAGCTTATTCACAACAAACCATTGTAAGAATTTGAGGTATGAAATGATTTTAGCTCTGTACTGAAGCCGCTTGCAAATTAAAGTATTGCAGCAGGGTGCTGTAAACCTTATTTCCTCACATTAGATGGGGTGCATTTCCAAGTCTGTTTCAATATTATGTAACTGTCATTTGTCTTCCACGAAAAAATATTTCCACAGTACAATACACTAGAAAGGGGAAAAGTTGAAACATTTTTTTCGTATCTCCAGTAGTTTGAGCGTCGACTCAGGAGATTAGTTTCAAAAGCACTTCGTTTGAATCATACACATACCCTTCAAAGATAACGGGCTTTGGTCAGTGCAGCAACTATACTTTTGACTTTCTAAGTTTGCGTACTTTCTTGTTACGTATTTTCCTACATGAAAAAGAAATAAGTTTCGGACTGAAGCAGCAACTGGTATATGTTGGCCAGATCTGAATTTGGCAGCACTGATATTCCAAATGGTAAATAGACTCATTTTGAATTACTGTACTGTATTTACTCACATGTCCCAAATTGATATTCGAACCCCCGTTTTAGTGACTCTCACGCTGCAATATTAAAAAAAAAACATCCAAATTCAAATTTTGTCATGAATTGAACCTGAGTTCAACTATTTTTTCCATTCCATTACGAAAGTTGGTCTGAAGTGTCCCATTATCATGGAATCAAATATACTGCACTGAAAGGTCTGAAATTTGTTTGCAAAATTTGTAAGTGCCGATACAACGTGCATCCCCTTTTTCCTCTCTTTTTTTTCAGAATAAGGTGTCCGTAACGTACTACTTGAATAAATAAAGTACTGTACTGTACATTGTCATGAAAATTCGTGAAAAATAAGGACCTGCAGGTGTTCTGTGGATGTGAGCCTGGTGATGGGCTCGACAACTGGCGCAGAACCCTCCGAACCCGTCACCGTAGTCGTCATTGGCAAAGGCGTGGCAACTGCAGAAATCCTGTTGACTAGTTCAGGACTGTCGCCAGGCATCCACATGGACACGGGCTGGTGACACGTCCACGTCCAGGGCTTTTCCGATGAGCCGTCGATGACCGACGACGTCGACGAGGACCCGAAGCGATGCTCGACGAAGCGACACACTGCTCGCGACACGCACGTCAGCACTATGCTGTTGATCTTCACGTCAGTGGCGTGTCGAATGTCGTTGAGGCGCCAGAGTGGCACCACTTGTGGAAACGCCACGAACTTGCCTTCTTTCGAGTTCCGATCATGTCTGAAATGTATGAATTTCACGATTTAAATTACAGTAAATGTTTCAAATACGCAAGACCTTTTAGTAATTTTCAATCGAGTCTTGATGAACTTTCCAAATTTACAGTGGAATGTCTGAATAGTCCTTTGATTTTATTTATTCATTTTTCTCGCCGTTTTTTGGATCAACAGAATATAACTTTTTTGAGAGGTATTAATAATGGTGACCGTGAATCGGAACCTCAAGGAATTTGTCAATTTGGCCAAGCATTCGGTAAAATGTGACAATCCGGAGATTTTTCCCATCAAGAAAGTTTTACGCCCTTATAAAAAGTTCATCATTTCAAATTTAATAACCATATTCGCTGATGCATTTATTAATTTGCGAGAATATCTGTAACATAATTTCATCCTGTTTGGCCGGTTGAATATTTTCAAAACGCGATGGAAAATTTTAAATGTTTCACTGGACTTTTGTGTGGCTAGAATCAAGTCTTGAAAAACTTTCAAAATTGACAGGAGAATCTTTGAATGGTCCTCAAATGATGTATTTTTTATTTTCTCGACATTTTTTGAATCAGGATAGAACTTTTCGAGATTGAGTGATGGTGACCATGATTTGGAACCTCTCACGGGATTTTTCAATTCGGCCAAGCACTCGGATAAAATATAAAAATGCGGAGATTATTGTTTTCAAAATTGTTTCCAGTTGTCTGAAAAGTTTCACATTTTTAATTGAATAATTATTTGAGCCAGCGCATTCAGAAATTTTCGAGAGCGTTGGTAACATCTTTAAATCATCTTTGGTTTGTCTTGAACATGTTTTTTCAAAGCAGTGAAAAGGTTTTAATATTTTACTGAACTTCAGTGTGTTAAGAGGAAATTTCTCCTATCAAACAAAATAAAATTGAAGCGCATAAAAAGAGACCTATAAATATTTTTCAGGGCTCGGAAATACATTCCATTTTATAATTAAAACTTGAAAAGGCTCTGTCACTTAAATCCGGAATTGCAATTTTAAAATTACCGTATTACTACCGGAAGCAAAGTAGCAAGTCGTTCACTCGTAAAAGTTTACGAACCGTTGGTGCTTTTGGAATCCCGGAAATAACACGTTTCGAAATTTCGTTCCGCATTCCAGGAGCAATCGTGACTATCATCCTTATCGCTTTTCCTGCTATATACATAGAATTTTTCTCTCGATTATCTGAGATTAAAAAATAAACCCCTTTATGTTCGAATAATACAGTACAGTAATAAAATCTTTTTGCAAAAGCGATTTGCTCGTGAATCATTTTCTGATGCATCCATGGGTTGACTGTCAGTGCTCAAAATTCCACGCGTCAGGAAGCGCAGTAAATTAAAAAAAGCGTGATCATCAATTGATGACTATCTAGTGTTCTGAGCTGCTGAAAATCTATCTAGAAAGTACCAAGAATCGTTTTTTTATGTTCACGAGAAGAATCAAAACGCAGTTCACTGCAAAGTGATAAACGAAAATACCGTGAATAGTATCCCGAAGCGCAAAAAGAAAGTTTTTCACGGATGATCATTCAAAAATAACGGTTTTTAGAATCTACTTTCTTTCATGGTCACCGTATCAATTAGAAAACCGATGGAATCAGTTTTCGCAGCTGAATTTCCCTTCGTATTTTGCGCTGATATCGTGGGAACGCCAGGGCTAATACTCAGAATAAAAGCGTGTTTTCTCCTGTTTTTTTTTTCGATTCTTGCTGTAAGTAAACAAGTTTACCGCTTTCACGAGGGAAGGAAATTGACTGAGGAACGGTGAAATCGATTCGGGGGATTGTTTTATCAGTAAAAAATATAGTACAGTATATAATTTTACGGTACGGTACATGTATACTGTACTTACTCGTGCAAGGCCGAATCGAACGATTTTTACAGTTTCAACAAACGTTATTTTCGGAGCATTTGTCCAAGCCACAGAAATAGTGCAAAAAATCAGGTTTTGCATCGTATGTTAAAAGCCTTATTTTAATTTAAATATTTTAAAATAAAATATCATTCATTTTATTATAAATAATATATATTATTTTTCTTATTTTATTTATTTATTTTATTCACATAATTTTTATTTGTAATCTTTTCAGCACAGTTTTTTGCATAATTTTTTCTCTCTTGAAGGTCCCTTTTAGAACAGTAGAGAATGCAGTAATTTGTAGCAAGTAACAAGAATCATATAAATCTCTGATTTTAACATGATTCAAGCATGCACTGGTGTCTAATTTATGTGCGCTCTCCAGAGAAATATTTGGCAATGATTATTTTTATTTCGTCATCCATCATGGCAAAATAACCGGCAGGAGTAGATGGAAATGGGAAATAATGTAGGTAAATTATGGAGTATTACGCCGATTCTTTCGGATGATCCGACTATCTGTTTCTCTCGAATATTATTATATTTTAGATAAAGTATGAATATTGTAAGAGATTAAAATTTTGCGCAAAAATTACAATTCCCTTCTACATCATGGGTGACCCACTTCCTATTACGCAACATCCAACTAAAATTCATAGATTTTCGCGATTCGTGGACATAATACAGTATATTGAAATTTCCAGCTAAACGAGTAGAAAATTTTTTTTGACATCATCTTAGAAGCAGCAAACTTTTTGGCTTGTGATGGACACATTGAAGTTAAATTTGGAATTTGAAGCTATGGAGATTTGCGGCAGTGTAATTTTACCTGACATAATCAACAAAGCAGAGCTGCGGCAATTTTTAGCAACTCTCCAAAAATTTTAAAAATAAAAATCAAGGTGTTGTTGAGCACCAAAAAACCGCCGCCATGTCCCTAAATTTGTATAGCGAACGAGGGGTCGGACAAAAGTTCTCGGATAAATTGAAAACGGCATAAGATTGTTCAGCATGTGGAATTTGCTGGCACAAGAAAAAATGTAAGCCCAGTGTGACACATTTTGCATAAAGTTTTACTGCTTTAGCAAAAGTCACCCTGGCAGCAGCTTTTTGCTCTTCATCATTCGTAAGATGAGGCACCCATCGCGCAGACTTTTTGGCGCAGCCCAGCTTCTCCTTCAGCATACTTAAAATTCACATGGCATTAATTCCAACGGTTGCCGTCATTAATTTCGACCTTGGAATCAATTTCTTGTCAATATCAAGAATTCTGATGGGAAAGCTGGGTTTTTCACAAAAATCTGCGAGATGGACGCCTCATATTTCGCGTGAAGATCAGAGAACTGAAAGCAGCGGGATGACTTCCACAAAAACAAAAACAAATTGAGAAAAATATGTCAAATAACAGGGCTAAATTTTTTTCTTTGTGTGAGCGCAAAAGAATTTTTTCTGAGCAATAATTCATGGTCAGCTCAATCATATGGAGTTTCAATTCTTGTATTCAGAGAATGTTTGATAGACCCGTTGTATACATCTTGCATATACAGTAGTGAGACCCCTACATGCAGACACCTCAACCTGCAGACAATTTGACATAGGGACACTAATTTTCCCAGAAAAAATTAATAAAAAAGGCCCAAAATGAGGACACTGACTTGACAGGGACATTTTGTGATAAAATTGCAAATACATTTCAGGCTAAAGTACAAGAAACAGATATTTCAAACCCTAAAATTGATGTAAGAAAACTTCTTGGGCATTTCTCTCACCAATTTACCATCCATTTAGCTAATTTAAAAAAATTACCTCCAGCATAGATGAGGGACTTCTACTTTTTTTCACTTGGATTTTATTTTTGTAGATACCAACATTTCAATGTACAGTACAGAGATACACAATTCAATTCTCCAAATGTTCTCATTGAGTTGAAAGTGTATTCAATAATTCAAATTCAAGTGGCAAAAAATTTTTTTTTCAGGGAATTCTGAAGAATATTTTTTCCATAAAACACCAATTAAAAATTATATAATGTAAGTCTATGGGAAAACAAGACTCGACTTAGGGACAATTCAACTTAGAGACTCTCTTGATGCACCGATTATGTCCGAATCTCGGGGTCTCACTGTATACAGTATAGAGATATATAGCGAGACTATATAATTGGTTACGCAAGCGAGCAGCGAAGCTTGCTGGAAGCATTGCAACCGAGATGCGCAAGACAACAATCGCACAGTCGTCATCATCATCATCATTATAACTCATTAACCCACCTGTGAATGGGATTCCAGTCGGGCTCGTTGAAGAACTGCATGAGCGTGCCGAAGGGCAGGATCATGAGGCCGCGGAAATGCAGCCATGCCCGACGCCACCGGGACACGTGGGCCATGTTGCGGAACAGGTCTTTTGCGGCGGCGTCCCCGTCGGCGATGCTCGGGAAGAGAACCATGACCGCCGCCCCGGCGTCGAAAATGGCGTGGTCCGCCTTCACCAGCAGCACGTGCTCCTGCTCGTCGCGCCGCGGCAAGAGGAAAATGCGCCACGGCGCCATCGTGGGGCGCTCCCAGTGCTGGGCGTTCACCAGGTCCTCCACGATCATGGACAAGTCCCGCTCGTCTCGGTAAGTCACTGGAGTCTCCCTGTGGTTTTCACCGAGAAATTTAAAAAGGCATTGAATTTGGAATACAATTCAAAGTCCCGAGGAAATCATTACAAAAAAAAGATGAGATCAATGATGCGATTGCTTGTGTGCCGAAATATCAGAATGTCTGCACATTTTCCACCAGACTCCAATGGAAAATTTTTCATTGCTTCCCAGCACATGCTGGGCTAATGAAAAAAGGGGGAAATTTCCTCCAAAAAGTCAGTAAAATAATGGTGGAAAATAACTGTTCAAAAATAAACCTTGCATAATCGGGTCTTCTGGCATGAAAAAAGCTCAAAAAGCAAAAAAAAGAAGCTCATATACATGGACTCTCTCTCTCTTTCTTCAACAGCCTTTTCTACAAAGCGTTAAGTGTCTTCAAAGCTTTTGCAAAATGTGTTTAATAAATATCACAAGCTCAGAAATAATTTTATTCTAGCGCAGTATCAATATTTCGAGACATTTTTCAGATTTTGTGGCAGATTTGTCGAGTTTAACGCGTCCGTGGGTCATATATTGTTTGTCATTCAGGACATTAATGTGCTGCGATTTCCTATTTCATACAATATGCATCTTGAGAAAGCACAATAAAAATCTTTGGCAAGCATAGGCAAGATTATTTTTCAGAAATAATTGCCCCATGGATGCGACAATGTAAAAAATTACCAAAGCCAAATTCACTGAATCAGATTGAAAAAAATTTAAAAATCGGAGTATGGGGAAAGCTCCAGAAAATCATGATAAATCAATTTTTCGTACTGCATAATGAAATTTTGTTACAATGGGGTTTATTCAGCGTTGTGTCTGTGAAGGAGTTTCAGCTGGAACATAAAAATATATCTAATTACAGTTGAACCTCATCAACTTAAACCTCCCTAAGTCAAATACCCCCCTAAGTCGGAATTTTTTCAGGCCCCCGTCTGAATTCCCTTAGAATTAATGCATTAAAAACCTCCCTAAGTCAAAGGCTTTTCTCCTCAAACCTTCAAAGTTGTAAGTCAATTTTCTGTGTCATATTGGCTATTATTTTCTCGTCACAAGAGAGAAAAAAATCAATAAAAACATATATTGATGCGTTTTAAAACAAAGTGAAAGACTTAATGGGGCAAATGAACCCCTGTCTCCAAGTTCAGCCTCATTTCAACTCATTTAAGAAGCCATTTAATCCCCAGAAAATCATCATTCACAATGTTGGTCAATTTTTCAAGTTTCCCAGAACAAAAGAGCTTTCTATTGTAGCTTCAAAAACCTCCTTAAGTCGAATTTTTTTTTAGAGAGGGTCGACTATATAATAATGATTTTAATGAAAAATGCGTTGTACTGGTAATTGCTATAGATACAGGGAATTTGACCTGTATCGTAAAAATTGCACAAAAATGAAACGGATCTAGGAACAGATTAATCCAATTAATTGTATTCGGGGACTAATTGATGCACCAATTTGCTAATTCCGTCTCACCCCGAGTCATAGTAGTAGTCAAAGTGGGGTTCAAACTCAAACTCCGGGTCCGGCAGGGCCACATGGAGTCCCAGGAACTCGGTGAAATACTGCCTCAACTTGGGGTGCTTCCAGGCCCCATTGGGCCGCTTCACGTCCAGCAGGTTCTCGCGGAACCTGCGCCTGAGGTCAGGCAGTGACACGCGACCCGCGATCCGCACAACCATGTTGTTGGCGGCCTCGTTCACGCGCAGCAGCGGAAACTGGGAGATGGCGTCGGCGCCGGAAAGCACGGCCGCCGAGCGCCCGTGGCGGCATCGCAGTGCCACCCAAACGCACAACTTCCACGACAGTGCCACGGCGTAGAAGACACTCAGCACTGCCAGCACTGGCACTGTCACTGCGTACACGGCTGCCAGCAGAAGCATGTTTCGTCTGATGGTGACCTGCTACAGGCAAAAGGGTCCATTATTATTATTTTTTTTTTTTTAACATGACAAGTTCAATGCTGAATAACATATTTATTTTTATTTTATTTTATTTTCATATAGGCGAAAAAATGCAATAGGCACTCAAGAGACTATACAAACAAACAAATCATATTTTAAAGCTTCATGTTGCCTTTCATTGAATATACTGTAGTTATGGGGCCCAAGGATACAAATTAAAAATGAGCAAACAATTTAGGGGTATGTGAAACTCAAAAAAAAATATCCCAACATATTGACAATCAATGGATACGGACACTGTCAAAATTTCAAGAAAAATGAAAATTATATTTTCTGAATTTTGATATCTTTTGAAAAAGTTTACAAAAATTAAAATGAACTGAATTATAAATTTACAAGGCATATTTTAAAGCTTAATGTTGCCTTTCATCGAATATACTGTAGTTATGGGGCCCAAGGATACAAATTAAAAACGAGCAAACAATTTAGGGGCAGGTGAAAATCAAAAAAATATGTCCCTACATATTGACAATCAATGGATACGGACACTGTCAAAATTTCAAAAATATGAAAATTCTATTTTTCTGAATTTTGATATCTTTTGAAAAAGTTTACAAAATTTAAAAATGAACTGAATTATAAATGTACTCTAATTCATCATCCAGAACAGGCCGATTTAATGCTTCTTTTTCAGATTTTTAGAAAAATGGAGACATTTTATTTTTTAATTTTGATATCCTTCAGGAGTATAAATAAACGAATTGAGCAACCACAGAATGAAACAAAAATAATTTCAAAATAAATTTGCTCTAAATCGTCATCTAAAACAGGCTAATCTGTACTTTTTTTTCAAAGTTGTTTCATCATCTTTGCACAATATAGCAAGACTTGCACTTGTTCTTCGCTTTTGAAACTCCTTTTCATGCCAAAAGATCTTTTTTTTTCTGCACCTCTCCAAATTTAGGAGCACATTTTAAATTTTTGGGAGACTTCTTAATTTTTGATGAAAAGAATAATAAAGGAATCCATAAAATAGGTCCCCATTGAAGTCAATGGAAAAACGTGATCCGACATGCTGACATTCTGACATCCAAGTAAAAAGTCCAAACATTTCTGTCCGCATATCGGGGCCCCTTTCTATTGCTGAATGGGTCCAGATGATTTAAAAAAGAATGATGTATGAAATAGCCAAAATAGAAGAAAATAATCGCTCTTTTTGCTATTTTCATGCCAAGAATGCGAATGTTTATGAATTCCAAAAGGAGCCAAAAGCGTGTTGAAATTACGTAAGCCCACATATGCATTCCTTCGGGGAAATTCGTCTTTGCGTTCACTACTTAAAAACTACATTCTGCTTTCTTCTCTATCCGAGCAAAAATTAATTAAAATAGCCCTGTGTCCGTGTCGCAATTCCGTATAGTGAATAAAAAAAGTCGTTGATGTCCTCTTACATAACGTCTCAATATAAAGGTGCATTGAACCGTGACTCAACTAGAAGCAGCATTTTCGGATTTTTATCCCAGAAAATATGACCATCTCTCTTGTGCTATCTGCTTGTAGTTTTCACACTTTCATGAACAATAATAAATGACACCATCTGCGTTCTTTGGCAAGATCTTGAGCGAACAATGGCCCGTGAAAACATTTAATGAAGCTTTTGTTCCCGGCGACATCATTTCGTAATAACCAGTTCGTGATCCTGCAATGGTTTAATATTAATATGCCTGATCAAGGTTACGTCACTCGAGTAAAAGACAAATGACAAAAAGGGAACGCACTGCAAATAGAAAACACCGAAATTCGCGCTTTTGCACCAGCACGAGCACAGACAGGTAACACGGTTTATTAAACAAAGGAAAACCGTTCGCGCGCGAAAAATTTGCACACGCTCATGAAAAGGTGGGTTCGTAAGGTTTATTAATTGATGGATATGAAAGCTTTTTTTTTTTTTCGTGATCAGTTATAGGATTTGTGCTTGCATGTTATTGCTTTTGCTTTTTGCTAAAGGAACTTACAGCAAATCAATTACTCCGCATGGTTTTTTACATTTTCTCGAAAGAATTGTGAATGAGATACGACGGGGAGTTTGGAGTGCATTTAATTAATGGAAGTAAATGAGATTAATTTTTCATGTTTCATGAATTCTCACAGAGTTATGTATACAATATTTTCCAAGTCATGAATTACGAAAAAGTTATGATCTTGTTAATACAGCAGATGTTGCTGATACTGGCAAATAACTCTTTACATCATCTAAACTGCCACGCACATCAAAAAAAGCATCAGCATTTTAAAATTAGTCTGATGGTGATTCCCATTCAAGACTGTACTGTATTGACATTTAGAAGATTCCAATGAACAAAACAGCTGCTGAATCCTCTGTATATACTGTATATTGCTAGTTTTTATTAATTTCCCTGATAGCGATTTTGTTGAACCTGAGTTGTTGATACAGGTCATTATAAAAGCAGTTGAATCTTATAATAATCAAAATCCCCAGCCACTGTCACACACTGAATCCTGAGTCAACATTTAAGCAACCTTTATAGAAAATATAATAACCTACAGTTCCCATCAAACAAAGACGCAAATTTCCTCAAAATTATATTCAAAGATCAAGCTGCTGTTGAAAGTAAATTTTTAAAAAATTCGAAGTATGAAGTCATTAATTTTTCAGAGTAATCAAGGCTCATACATATACTCTTCCAAGAAGTTAAGTTAAATTCCTCATTTCATGTAAAATCGGGCATTTCGAAAACAAACTAAGGCAATACAGTACAGTACTGTACTGTACACCAAACCATTATGGCAAAATTAAGAAAGGCAGATTCACGATTGAGTCACGTTTCCAGTTCATGCTGATGCTGTATAGTGTCTGAAAAATCCTAAATTCATTATATTATTGCAGATGACCCAGTCAAATTGCTTCAAATTTATGTTTTATTTTCAGCGTTTTAAAACATTGAACAGAACTGTATTGACTCCAACTCAGAAACTAGTGTAACCGGACAAGTCAATTTCAAGATTCCAATAACAGAGCTGTACACACAAGTTACAACTGAAGCGTCATGCATGATGAGGGCTGGTTATGTATCAATCCTCTGAAGCTGTTCTCGTCAGCGCACTATAAACAAACACGACGACAGCCTGCTTTCGTAATTACTTAAATAAAAACTAGGATGGATTGTCACTGAAGGGAGAAAAAAACAAAAACAAAACAACGACACAGCACGCAGATATTGCAACAAGCCCGACCGCACTTCAGGCTTTCCGGCAGCAAACTGAGCTCTGTCGCAAGGGAACTGGCTGCTCTGGGATGCACCAGCACCAGCACCCCCACACACACTATAGCAGCAGCTGCTGATCCTGATCAGGCAACCATCAGGAGCTGCTGTGTGAGTATGCGAGGGCTGGTTCAATAAGATTTGCGATTTGTTGAAAGATCCAACAGAGTTTCAGCAATTCCAAAAAATTTTAAAAATGTTTACTCACACAGCAGCCCCATCATTTGGACACACTTCTGTGTTGTTCATCAAAACGCCAATTTCAGTGCACTTATTTCATACATATTCAACCATCAGAGCAGTGCCAAAAATCGAGTTTTTTCTTAGCTGAATTAAGCTGCTCTTTGATGACAGGAGTAAGACTATCCCAGTCCTCAAGATTGATCCCTTTCAGGTTGTTATTCCCTGTTGGGAAAAGCCAGAAATCACATGGTGCCTAACCCTTGTCCAGCAAATTTAGGATAAAATGTTGTGCCACTGAGAACTGGAGATTTAAAAAATCCTACTTTTGTACCAAGGCCTAAGTTGGGGAAAAGTCTGACATTTTTTTCTAATCCTGCAGACAATTTTTAACCCTTGGGCGGCAAAGTTGAAGTATTTTTGTGACATAAGATAAAAATGACAACAGGGGTTAAGGGCAAAGTTGGGGAAAATCCTGATGTTTTTTTTTCCTGGGTGCAGAAAAATTTTGTGGGAAAAAAAATACTCAGTTAAGCAACAGGCTTTTCTTGGATTAATCCCAACTTTGCCTCAGCCCACCTGGAAGGGTTTTCCTGACATTTGAAAAACTGAAAATGCGGGAGGATAAAAAATAATCCAACTCTATCCCAAAATGGGAAGAACTCCGTGCACTCCAAGGGTTAATAAAAACAATTAAAAATCCCTCACTGGGTGGCATTTTTCTTGCATTCCCAGCATAGGACTTGATGGGAGATTCCTGAAAAGAATAGAATATTCACCTCCCAGATTTTTCCTGACTTAGAGCTTTTCAGCCTGCAAGCATTTTGGTGACCTTGGGTCAAACTGAAATTTATCACCCCAAAAAAAATCCCAACTCTGCTGCACAATGCAAAGGAAACCCTCTGCTATCCAAGGGCTAATCAACTAACAGAACTTGATCTTTGACCCTGTTTTGATTGTTGGATTTATTGCATGAAAAAATGCATTGAAATTTGCTGAGAGTATGTTGAACAGCATTGGAAGAGTTGCCAAAGGATGGGGCTATGCAAGTTTTTAAAGAAATTGAAATTTTTGAAATTCTGTTGGATATATTTCAATAAGTCTCACAACTTATGAACCAACCCCTGTATATACAAAGGGTCCAACAAAAATTCTTGGAGTTAACCACAAGCCTTCACCAGAGGCAGACGTTAATTTTTTTATTGGATTCCTCATTCTTTTCTGGCCTAGAACCACTTTTTTCATCCCCAGATGAAAATGGAAATGAAAAGAAAAACTCAAATGAGTTGTTTCCGGCGTTGTGCCCACCCATTTTTTGCATCATGACAATAAATGCTCCTGTCCACACTGCTTGGACAACTCTTGATTCCATTGCAGATTCTGGCATTCATCTTTTGACTCCTCCTTCTTACTCACCTGATCTTGCTCTCTGTGATCTTTGGCTGTTTCCAACATTGAAAGAAGGGCTTTGTTAAGGGAAAGTCTTTGGAACAAGGGAAGAGCTGATTTCTGCTGTGACTGAGGAGCTGGAAAAGATTGA